GGTGTAACTCCTCAAGATTTATAGCAAGAATTTTTTATTTTGTCTTTTCTTAACTTTTTTCCTTGGGTTTTGAAACAAAAAAAATTGACTGGTCAACTACTCTGTCTCTTACATTTGTACATGGTATGCCTCTGGTGTCTGAAATCCAGGGTAATTTCATTATCATATTTGTTCTGATTATGTGAATTGATGTTTTTTTTATGAAAATAGGAAATCGTAGAATTACATGAGCCTTTTGAAAAGAAAAAAAGAAAGATTTGTAAGCTGTAAGACATAAGTCAGATTATATTGCCATCGCATAAGTAAATCTTACAGTTTATTTGCACAAATTGGAAGACCTACAAGTTTAAAATGCAGCGTTAGTCCAGACATGTTACAACCTGTTTTTCAGCTGCAATTGCAAACACAGCCTCCAGGGAAGATTGTGCCAGTAACGATGATCAAGTACTTAGACTAGATCAAATAGCAGATGAGTAATATATACCAGTGCATCATGTTAAACATGATAAATTGAATTGATTAACTTCATGCATACCCACTAGTTAAACATTCCTTTAAGTTTAACATCTTCAAAGTAGGCGTGATGTAAGATTTCAACAGTCTCTGGATGACTGAGGATGGTGACACTGATCTGTGTCTCTCTGGGGGACAGAAACACTCTATCTGATAAGTTCTGGCATTTGTCATTCATGTTGGGTGTGATCCATATTCTCCCTTGGCTCGATACAGTTTGTATCTTCGTTTCTTTGGACTGTCAATTTCTCTTCCTTTCATCTTCTGACTTCTCGTCTCGGTTTTCAGTTCCTACTTTGTTTGCATTGCTCTTGGTATTTCAAATATTGGATTGACTTATCCCCTTGGGTTTCTGACATCCGGTAGAGTGTTGCTTTTTTCTCCAAAGGCCTGAAAACTAAATACAAGTTTGGCATATGAAGGGCTTTTGGTCATGTGAACCCTCTGAACCGAACTTATATCATTGGAACATGCATTGCTTCACTTTGTATTCTAGTACAGTATGTCTTATAATATTGCTGTATTGATGCATTGAGACAAAGGTAGGCCTACTCCTTTGAAAGGTTAATTTTGTCCTGTGCTCAGGTTGGTGTAGCAGTACCGGTACTTTCCTTGCCTTCCTTCGCTGTGACCCGGGTTCAATTCCTGCCTGGGCCAATATGTGGATTGGATTTTCAGTCCCTGCCTGATTCCATGGGTTTTTCTCAGAATATTTTTCTGGGGTTTTTCCTCCCAAATCTAAAACTGTAATTTCCTCACATTGTGTTCTCTTTACTGGGCAGAATGGGAAACCAGTGGAATCTGGGCTACCCGGTTAAAATAAGAAATGAAGAAATAACTAAAGAAATAAATAAAAAAATTGTTGTGTTTCTCTGATTGTATACTGTTAAGTATAATTATTTACTGGCGGCTGTTGTAAACAATTCTTAAAGCATCCACTACTGCACCATAAACTGTTCCTCATACTGCACACTGTCAGTTTGAATTGAAAACCGTCTCTTTTGCCAAATTTATTTTTCATCTCAGTTGTATGAAATTGAGTTATATTGTGTTTGTGACAGGAAAAATGTTGTGTGCGTGTTTTCTTGTAAATTGATTTTGCACCTGGCCGGAAGCCATATCTTTAGAAGCCCATCCTTTCTGATCATGATTGTTCAGGGTTTTGGGATATGATGGAGTACAAGTAATTTGCATCTGTGGCTAGGGATATGGACTAATCCATTAACCACAATGAGAAGCCATTATTGAGGTTGCACCTTGCTCAAACACTTGCCATGCACTTTTGTCTAATAGGCATTTCCTATTTGCCACAATGCATGCTCATTTCAAATTTGAAAAGGCATGTGACATGCACTTGACCATCTCTCAAGGCTTCTTAGTTTGTAAATACCGTGGGATTAGTCTGCAAGGTACTGTGAAGTGACCTTTCTGAATGGCTGAATTGGATCATCATTTATGTGGCTTTGAAAGATCAGGATTATTACTCAAATTGGGGCAAATGAAATTACACTTTGGGATTAAGATGATAATATCTGTGATTGGCATTGATAATGAATGCTCGGTGTTGATTCCTGGAGGGACCGTACATGTAGATCTGGGTAAAAATGTTGGATATCACACATTCACTTGAATTGCCCTGGAACATGCATGCACAAATAATAAATAAATAAATAAATAAATAAAAAAAATAAAAAATAAACCAAAATTACATACTTTTGTCTGTAAATTTGTGGCATTTTTGCTTTGAATTTTTTTTGCTTTTTGAATTTGGAGGTGGGGTTGTGGTGGTAGTTACATACCATTACCCCGGTATGTACCGTGCCTTTTGCTTGGTTCAAAGCACAGAGTGCACAGTCCTTTAATACACGTAGTTCATCACACTTTGGTTTTCTGATTAGCATGTAGATTACATATCCCTTTAATACACGTAGTTCATCACACTTTGGTTCTCTGATTAGCATGTGGATTACATGTCCTTGAGGAGAAAAGGGGATTGTAAAAGAATCATAAAATGTGCCTTTAAGCCTCCAATGGCAGAATTACCCCTGGAGATCCTATTTCACGTTAAAAGCCTGAAACAAACTTCCCAAATCCTGCAAGAGTGATTCCACATACAGCCAGATGTCATTAGCAAGCCTCACTACAATCCGGCTACGTACATGTACTCAAAGAGTTTCTGTTCCTTCTCATTCTTGGCAGTTCATCTAGACATAATGATCAGCATCATCCAGGGATATAGTTGCAGTTATATAAAGCTGTGAAATTGAGCAGGGATTCAGCCAGACTTTCAGCTATGAATCGTTGAAAATTAATTGTCTCCTTAGGTTGCATTAGTTGTGAGTAAGGAATGGTGACCAGTCACTATTATACCAGCTGACCTGAGAAGCTTGGTGGTCAAGTGGTTGAGGCATCCACAATGAAAGCAGGAGGTCCTGGGTTCAAGTCCCACTGAGCAAACTCTTCACAAACTCACAGACTGCAGTATTTGCTCATAAAAGTACCGGTACGTTTGTGAAAAGAAAAGCCCTAAATTAAAATGTACTGATGCAAATAACACAAGCCTGCAATTTTTTTATCAAGAGTAAGATTGTGCAATGTACGGATAAATTAGCAATCCAATTGATGCATGCATGCATCTTAGCGCATTATATTTAACCTTGAGGAATTACCAGGGCTTCCATTGCTTACGTACACAGTTTGCTGATGATGAATAGAGGTGAATAAGTTGTGCAGTGTACTGTGAAGTACAAGCTATTTTATGTTGGAGACAGTCTTATATTGGATGTGCGCATGGACTGTAGAGGGAGGTGTGTCACCTATACAATAAACCGTTCCCGATTTGGCCAGATTTGTGTCTCCCCATTTAGAATATTGTAACATTAATGTCTATGATGCCACACTGTATGTTCCTGCTGCAGGTGCTGTCCTTTAAAAGTGAAGTGCAAACATTTCAGATTTGTATCAGTCATTTGGTTGCACAGTTGATGGCTGTGATTGGTCAAAACATCATGGGGCAGGGCTTTATGATTGGTTAAAACCAAAGTCAGGGCACACACATCTATCACGGAATCACAGTGGCCCTTTCCTCGCCTTCCACCTCCATGGCATGGGTTCGATTCTTGCCCTGGTCCACGTGTGGATTGGGTTTTCAGTCCCAACCTGATTTTGCAGGCTTCCCCAGAATATTCTTCTGGGGTTTTCCTCCCACAAACCTGTAATTTCTTCTCATTGTCTTCTCTCTACAGTTTCTTCAGGCTTCTGAGCTTCAGTGCCTAGCGGTGCATGTTGGGTGCTTAAAATTGAGGAATCCTTGGTTTCATTAATAAAAAAAACCTAATAATAAGAAAAGCTGTGGTAGAGTGTGACTTTTGCCAATGATCATGAAACCATATGACAGTTAAAATGACGGCATACATGTAAGTGTTTTTTACAAGCATGGTGATGCAACATTACGTGGCTATGTGCTTGTCTGCTGTCTGTCCTGTCACAGGTGGCCTATTCAATTTAGTCATGCCAGCGCTCAGCGTTGGAAAGATTTGGTGGTTAAGAATCTACCTCCAAGTCCAGCCACTCTTTGATTCCATTTGCATGTACCGGTAATCAGACAGAGATCGTAGGACATGGTTCCAAGCATTCATGCCAATCCACATATCCAACTTGATTCTATTTGTAACTCTCTTGCAGTTGCACTTTTCATCAGCGTCCACTACCGGTACATACGTCAGTATGCCATTTACTATTCCCATCCCGCTGTGATGCCAATTATTCATTTCCCTGCTTCATCTTTGAGCCAGAATTGCTATTTCATTGAGGTGTTATTTCACTCACTCGTTACTGCTTACTACAAAGTACAGTGATCTATGGCTCAGGTTGCTGATATTTATTTCCCATGTCATTGTCTGCTGAGATTCGTTTTAGCTTTACCTGTCGGCCTGCTTCAATTAAGCCTTGATGCAGGTTGAGAGTGTTGTTGTCAGGATTTGATAATAGAATGTCAACATTGCATTTGCAAAATAACAAGCCAAGGCATTTATAACTGAATACAAATGTGTAATACAAACCCTAAATTTAACATTTTCCCTTTAAACAGAGGAATAATTGCTTTTTTTTCTTCTGGTTGATTGTATTTGTCATTAGCCATGTTGTTGTGGTTTGATTGCTCAAGTCATTGAAGAGTGACAATTGATGGAGTGTCCCGCTCACTTGATAATTATGAGCGAGTGAGCTGTCAAGTTTGTAAACACACTCTGATTTTACCATAACCAGATGACATGCATTCTTTTTAGCCTACCTGTGGTGTTAATTTTGAGCTGTGTGCTTAAATTATTTTTTGAATGAGGTGAATGTTTAATCAGATTTTTCAGAAAACAGCCTTTAAGTTAGATGATAATTCCTAGAAACGACAACTTTCGTTGTGATACATTGACACATTATGTAACATTTCTCCAATGTAATTTTCTGTATTTCTTGTTTTTTTCCCCCCTCAGATTAGCTGGACAGATCTTGTACAAGGAAAAGGATAGCAGTCACAACCACACACCCGCATCCCTCAGCTAACCGTCACATCAGAAGAGTGCTACTTAAACATTTAGTGAATCTTTACATTGGATCACCGACCCACCTTTCAGTCTAGTATCGGGAGCATTCGAGTGAGCACGTTTACAAGAAACGAGCACAGTAAGTGCCGTGGATCCCTATCAAGAACACAAGTCTAGCTTTAAAGGCCCCAGCATTTTGGAATTGACCATGTGTGATGATGGATCTCGATTCTAGAGTGTGTCTGATGCGCTACATTGCCTAAGTACATGTAGCTCCTCATGGATTATTCCTGTTGGTGTCCTCACAAGGAATCTGCAGCTTTCTGTGAGACAACATACTTTCTCTTGATGAGTGGAAATCACACAAGCTACTGTATTGATTACTGATGCTTTTAAGGTATGCTTTACAGGCTCCCGTCAAATGCAAGGAAATAGTTGCAAATTGATGTAAATTGAAGTTCCTCATGGAAATAGTTGTCTCGCAATTCTCTACTTCAAAGGATTGTGTTGTGCTGTGTCACATCCTGTTTGCCGGAGGTGATATTTTGTGAATTATCGTCCTGCTTCTGGATATCACCATTTTCTACAAGATACTTTTCCCTGGCGATTCATAACCAATCGTTCTAATCATCAAAACGATCGTGAAGTGTAGTAGCCGTCTAGTTCCCCCCGCGAGGTATCTTCCTACGATTGATGATCCCTAACACACTCTGAGAATAATTCCATACTTCGCTTCACCAGAGCATAATTGGATCACCTTATCTCGTATTAGTGTCTGCGTTTTGCCCAGAACACCACAGCATTTTGCGGCCACCATGAATTTCCTTCGGCGACGTTTTTCAGACCCAAACTCGCTGGGCAATGTCCCCAATGGATATTTTCAGAATATCGGATCTGATGATACCAGAGAAAAGACTCTGGCAGCTGCATCTGTTCCTCCTAAGAGAGATCTTGGCTTCTTGAGTTCATTAACGACAGGCAAACAGCAGGAAAGAACCAAGTGTAAGACGTTACTGGTCATTGATGACCAACACACAGACTGGTGAGTTGTTTATTAGGGGCTATTGTTTCTTCTTTAGTTTGTTGATTGGTTATTTTCATATGGATTTAGAGTGAAATTACTGTCCAGGCAAACGCTTTTTAGTTTCTCCTTGAAAAAGTTTATTTAAATTGCCACAAGGAATGTTTTCTTTTAAAATTCCGATGTGGTAAAATCAACATTTGTATTAGATCTGTTTAGCTTTTGGCCAGGCTGTAACCCTTTTACTGCAAGTCAAGTTAGATAAGATGATTCATGCACAATCCCACTAACACCTCTTAGTTAAATACTAAACATTATCAATAATTGAAAATCCACTTCCAGTGAGGCCTAAATGTTTTGTTTCATTGCGGCTAAAAGCCATGTACATGTGACAGACAAGCACTATACCGATCAATCTTTTTGGTCTAACAAAATCTATTCTGTCTCCAATCTGTGATAGCGCATGAATGCGATAAGATTTGAATGATTCACATCTAGTTGGTCTAGCGCTCACTGTTAGCACATGATTGCAATACTTGAATGATTCACATAGCTATTTGGTGTAGCACCTTCTGTTATTGGATTTCAATGGCTTGACCTATTTTCCTCCTCTTAACTGGAGTAATGATGGATACAGTAGATCAAGTAGCTAATGCACCCTGTGCACTCGTTATCAGCTTAATGCTCCAGTTGAGTTTGTAATGCACTACCGAATGGATGATAAATCAAACTTTCCGCCAAGAACTTCCATAATCTACAACGGACCTGAAGAAAACTCAAGGGGTCCACAGTACAGCCGTTGTGCTATGGGGCATTTTGTTAATGTATACTTTGAGGGGTCAACAAAGATTACAAAACAACAGTCTCAACAGCATTTTCCATTCAAGGTTGGGGAAATTCAAACTAGTGACTTTCGATGCAGTTAAAACAAAGTTTTGCATGATGATGTACCGGTGCATGTGTGTATGATACATGTGTAACATTTTTTTAAACACATCAGTGTTGGCCGGGGGAACAGCATGGTTTCTTCCCATAAAAGCATGTACATTACAATGCCGCATCTACCGGTAGCAACATCTTAATTTTTGTTCTTCATAATGTAAAATTTAAAACATAGTTTTGTTTCAGGAAATTTTTCTTTCTGTGAAATATGCCCTGGGATTGATCTAGAATTTTTTATTCTTAGAAAACAATTAATTTTACCCGGTACTTGCACGAGTGTTCCAAAATGCCACTCATAACATATCATAGTCCTCTCGTGTACCCATAGCAATAAATACGTAGCCCATGTTTTTTTATAAAATAGTTGTGAGGGCTGGGGCATACGTACCGGTAGGGTAGGAAAGGGGGAGGTTAGTGAGGGTTTGCTGTAACACCATGTGGAAGAATCTCTTTTGAGAAGATGGGTGGTTCTGAAAAGAACCGGTTGGTTGCGAAACTCGATGTTATCAATATAGGCCTATGCTCTGATCGTCTTCAGGAGGAAAAAAAGGGGGAGGTGTTGTGAGATGCATGTCAAACAAGTGCAGCTACATGTACTTTTGCACAAAGTTGTCCTCTGAGATTTCGATTTTTCCCACGTTTCTTTTTAAAAGATGGTTGACCTCATTAAGTAATATACAGCTGTACCGGGTATATTTACCATGTAGTGAAATGAGGCCTACATGTATTTGATCCAATGATTGTGGACGCATAATTGCTTAATTGACTGTAAGATCAAGCAGACATACATGTAACTGTCCATTAAGGGATGGTAAATGCTTGGCACCTGGACTGATGGTGTTGCATAATGAGGGGGAAATTGATGACTGCATGGGATAATTTGCCCTAAAGCAATCAAATAAGTGGTGGCATGGAATAGGTGGATAGAGCGAGAGCTGAATTTTTCAGTCTGGATCATAAGAAATATCTGAAGTGAGACCATAAATATATAATAGGCTGGCAGTGTTACTGAAGCATGACCACTTAGAGTATTTTAAAACATCACTAATAGTGAAAAGAGCCTACTTGCGCTGGCCTACGGTGAATATTCAAATATTTTTTTACCAAATTGCACGTGGGTGGGTTATTCTATACATTTAGGGTCCAAAGTGTGACATTTTTCTTGTCGTTCTTACTTGGAAATTTGTAATTTGACAGTCAGGTGTCATTTAGAATGCCTCCAAAGATTTTTTAATAGTTGGGTCTATAGATAGAATGACTGCATTAAGGAGTGCACCATGTATGTAATCTATGTCAGATGTAACAGGCATATTGGACAAAAAGTGGACCCCAAATTTATAGAATGACCCCAATTGCTAATAATTTGGGGAAAATTAAGAATGTACATGTACCGGTACATATGTACAAACATGTTTGTTTATTGGTCCATGAATCAACAATGGTACCGGAACCTGTTCAGTGTTAGGGGTTTAAAAAAAAAACAGCACTTGGAAGAAGAATCTTTGTGTTCCACATGAAAGATCATTTTAAAAGCAATTATAAAATATGTATAAGTGAAGGCTTGAGAGATTTAAAATGGAATATTTTATTTTTCCCCACTATTAATTAAAGTTATGTATCCACACACTTCCAAGTTAAACTTCTTTCATGTTTTTCCCTACTCCATGCATGCAAGGCGAAGCAAAGTGCAGTGACCACGCAGATTTGCCCTTTTGAAAAATTGGGAAGGACCCGTCTCTAACTTAATGGAATTCAATTTTATTTTCTTGCGAAGTCTACATATATACGTTTAGCTCTAGGCTCACTCTTAATTTGTTCATTGAATTATTTACGGATGATTTTGTTTGCATACCTGCACATGAACTGCACCCCGTATAAATTTGATTTCCATTGGAAACGTTTCTAAAAACTAACATGATTTTAAAGTTGCTCTGACTGTGCTCTTATGTACAATTTTCTCTTCTCCAATCAAATTTCCAATTTAATGAAATAAATCTGTATTTTTATTTTGGGCATCTGCAACCCTTTGCGTTGCCGTTGTGCATCTAATGCACAACATCTGCCTGAATTATTGCCAGGCTGCAAAATAATTTGAAGGTTGTAAAGTAATGACTAAGTTTGGGCAGATTGTTTCTTTCGATGTCTTTTATATTCAAAATGAATGACTTTTGTATTACTAGCATGACTAGGTGAGAAAAGCATGATAGAATATTGGAATGAAGCTTGAAAATAGCACAGAGCACCATATCTGATCCACTTCCACTTCAAAGTACCGGTACATGTACATGTAATGTCAGAAAAACTGAGGGTTTGAAATGGTGGTGTCATGGAATTTAGCCAAAAGGTGTAGCAATCTGATGATGGTATGATCTCTTCATGGATTTGTAAGGAAACTGTCCTACCAGATATGAATTTCTCTCTGGCCGCAACACGTAAGCCGTGTTTGATTGATGAATTGAAAAAGCTGTGGATATGGCTTACTTAAGTAATTTGTATATTTGAAGCCATATCTGCAGCTTTTTCAATTCATTCATTCCAACGTACCACAAACTCACTCTAGGGCCGTGTCCAAATAACTTGGCTACAGCTTGAATTTACACATGAGTTTATGGGATGTGGCTGGAACTGCTACCATAGACACGTGTGTAATTTCAAGCGTAGCCAAGTAATTTGACGTGGCCTGCTGAATTCTGTGTGAGAATGTGAACAACGCCCTCACTCGTGAAGTTATAAAAAAGTTTGTAAATTTGACATTTTTTCCTAGTTTTCATTTTGGTAATTTACTCAAGTTGCTATTACCAACACAAAGTGAAAACTATCCTAACTCTGTACATGTCTCATGAATGTCAAATTTATTTGAATAACAAGGAATTCATTGACAACGTGGCATCTTTATTTTCTTCTCTCTCCCAAGGCCCAAATATTTCAGAGGCAAAAAGATCCATGGAGAATTTGACATCAGGGTTGAACAGGTAATCATGCTGTTCAATATTTTGTCTGTTGAAATGTATATAAGTTTGCTTTTATTTTTTTTAAAGAAATCATCAATTGAAATAATTTGGTGAAAAACAGTTGATTATCAATTGTTGCTCTTCATTGCTGATGTTTATGATGTACTTAATTAAACATTATGGATTCCTTGTAAAAGTACCCCCTCAATGGTTGCAAAGGGAGATTTGGGGGAAACCACTTGGAAGGTTTATGCACAAAGTCCTTTATCAGTTCAAACAAGGAAATACAAAAAATATAGACGTTACAGTTGCACTTTTTTGGCTGTGAAGTTTTCAAAGTTTGAAGGCCAACTTTCCTGCTTTTGTTTAGGCTGAGTTTTGTGAGCTGAATCTGGCTGCATATGAAGATGGTGGAGTCACTGTCGATCTGAGAGGGCACAGACAAGGACAAAAGATTGTCAGGTCAGTCACCGCTTTGCTTGCTTCATTTGACACATTGGGTCATCATATTGGCAGGTTTTAAATTGCTCTCATGAAATAATTTATGTGCATGGATAGAAAAGTGACCGATTTTTGCTTTTTTTTGTAGTGATTGCATCAAAGTACTGTCAGACAGTTAACACTGAGATATTTAGCTTCTGTACGTTCCCCCACAATCCTCAGCATGTCCGTGACACAATACCATTAATGTGGATTTGAGAAAAATATCCTACTTTAAAACACAGTCAGCAGGGTATAAGTCTTTTGCTGATTTCAATGAAGTAATGAGGGTGTGAGATTTCATAGGCATGTTTGGAATAATCTGGTGTTTGGTGTTTGTTAAAAGTTTCAAAGGAGAAACAAAAATTGAGGATGATGTACACAAGAACATGTAAACATTCCAGAACTTAAAATTAATACTTCAGTATTTTCTTGTAAGTTTGCAAGGGAAAACACATTTTGTATTTTGGGATTTTTACATCAAAGAGGGTTAAATTGGGATTTGCGCTTCACTGACATAATTTTGTTTTCAGCAATAATTTTGTTTTAAGGAATGCCTAGGTACTGCTTACTAGCGCACTCAATCGCCAAACTTGCCAAAGTACGATAAGATCTGGTTCACGGTGCTTATGAAGATCTGTGATTGATATTAACATTTTTAAAATTTTGAAATAAAAGTTTTGAAAATGCTGCTGTAACCACTCACCAAACCCTCCCTTAGTCTGGGTCATATTATTATCTAGATGTAGGATGTGGATCAAGCTATCAAGCTAGTTACTTGGTGATCCGAACAGTCTGGTCGATGTGTACCCTTCATTCAGTTTGGTATTTCTTTACCTTTTTTACCAATCCATCAATAATTTCTTTATTTCAGGACCTTCAAGCCAGATTTTGTTCTCGTCCGTCAGCATACAAGAAGCATGGAAGTTCAAGAAGATTGGAAGAACATTGTCATCGGCTTTCAGTATGGTAACATCCCTAGTATCAACTCATGGCAAGCAATCTACAACTTCATGGATAAACCCTGGGTTGTAAGTTGACATCTTGGTCTTGTTCCTAATGGTTTTATGATGAAAAGAATGAAGAAATTGTAGGTGTCTGGCTGTTTGGATGAACTGTATGAAAAGAGAAGAATTACAAGGGGATCTAAACAAAAGTTTTAAAGGTAAACCACCAATAATATCCATACTTTTTTTACTGTTAATATTTGTTCAACTGTTTACATCCTGACAATGCTAAAAGTTTCCTCATGTAGGCTTCCTGGTCTATATGTACTGTATAGTGCAAACAGTTGTATATAAAATCAGAGGCATCTACTTACTATACCTAGGTGAACTCATGCTCTGTTCAGTTGCAACAACTTCTACAGGTGTGTGTTTTAATTAGACAAAATCCATGCATAAACTCCTTGTGACGATTTCTAAACATGCTCTGGTGGTTCTAAACATATGTATTTATTTTAATGACAAGGTTCATGTATCTAGATACATTGGGTACCGGTACATGTTAAAAAAACGACATTGACAAATTCCTTTTGACTTTCTTTCTGCTGACGAATTTGGAAGGTCCTTATTATCAAGTTATGTAGAATTTCTTGAAAAGCATGGCCTAATTTATTTCTTTTGAAGTTTGCTCAACTGACCAAGATGCTAGAGAAACACGGAAGAGACAGGTTTCCCTTGATTGATCAGGCCTTCTACCCCAACCACAAGGAGATGGTAAGTTTGTACTCTGTCTCGTCTCTCTGTCTCTCTGTGTCGCTCCGTCCTGAATTCATGGCATGATTAATTGGATTGAAGTCTCTAAGCTGGGATGGTATGGCTGGAGGCTTCTACGGTAGCCGCTGCCAAGGTAGCGCTGCGCTCTGCCTCCAATCAATATTAATACCCAGACTGGGATTTGGAAGGCAGATTGCAAAAACAACAAACATTGTGTCCGGCAGACATTGTAGCAACCCTGATCGCCAAAAAATAAAGAAAGGAATATTCTTTAAAAACAAATACAAATAAATTGGCAAGGTTTCTGTAGGTTGGTTTTCTTTTTGTAGTATAACACACACGATGCACCCATTTTCTTAAATTTCCATGGTCTAATGCGTCAAAGTGATTAAAAGTAAATTTTAATCTGTCAGCCAAAACTTCCCAGTTCTTTAGAGATGGAAAAAAAAACGTGACCGACTTAATTCATTCAAATGCATGCACCTTTACCTTTCGTAAGCATTCATAAAATTGAGGAAATTTTTTTTTTTGAACAAAGTTGTGTTTTGGAGAGTTTCATGGAGATAAGTGGCATTGATTTGAAGCACTTGAAAATGAACTGAAACGAAGTAACTGCAAGAACGTTGTTTTCCAATACATGCATGTTGTGCAAATATCGGTATATCAGAAAGTGTTGTCTACTTTGCATGTTGATACAAGCAAACAGCCTTTTCTTTGCCTAGCCTCACATCCATACCATCTCAGTTGATTCTCTTCTTAAACAAACATCTCCATGAAACAAGAAGACTACTCAGGCAATCTGATTGCCAGGCTAATAGGATCACAAGGCCAGTTAAACCGGCCTAATCTGAACTCCACGACGACAAAAGACCATCGGTTCCTTAGGCCTGAAGATGATGAGGCCTCTCAGATGAGCGAGCATCTAAGATGAGTCTTGAGTAGATCCAATAAGACAACTCATTATGGATGCATGAGAAATGATATCAAGGAGGTGAACGTGCACTTCTTGATTCACATTATAGACGACCAGCTTGTTTCTAGTTCAGTAGTTATGTGGCTTTATAACTGATATCCTGCCAATGTGCATGACAATACACTGTATCATGTAAAGTGCTTTGAAATTACGCTATTATGTCACGTCCATGTATTGCCCCCTTTTTTTCTGTCCTTAAGCTGATTGTATCATAGCCGATTGGCAGTGTGTCATCAATGGGTTTTATAGAAGCTCTTTCTGAAACGGACCCCATTGGAAATGGAATGTGATGCTAGTGTTCAAACTATAAAAGTTCAAACTGTAAAAATTTAACTGTAATTTCCTCATGTAAATTCGATACAATGTTTGGATTTAAGCCGAGTTGAAAATTAAACTTTCGTTATCTTTTTGTTTTTAATTACTGCCAATATTTTTCAGTTAATTTGGAAGAAATGATTGTAACTGATTGTGGCAGCCCTGTACATGTACCTTAGTTACTGGTAAATAACTAGATGGCGATATTGTGACGGCTTTTGGCCTAGTGAAGTTGTCCCTGTAGTATTACCGTTATTGCTATCACAGTCTCCAGTGATTATGCTATCTTCTTTCATTTCCTCGCTGAATTAACCAATGCATTTGATCTGATTCTTCACACCTTCTTAATTAACTTCATAATTTGATCTCGGCCAAATTCTTGAATTCCCTAAGCAATGTTAGGAGGTGTACGGTACTTCCATGTTATTTCAGGATACATTTTCTGATGGTTTGTCTTGAAAGAGGAACAATATTTGAACATCAATTCTACCTGTAGTTTTATAACAAGAAGAATTAGTAGTTAGCAGGGTAATGCATTCTACATGTATAGCAGTGCATCTACAGATGTACATCATTTAAAAATTACTGAAAAGTCACATACACAACCAATTAGAAATGTTCAGTATTTTCCTCAACAGTAAACATAAACTTTATTAAATATGAATATTGCAAATAAAATGAACAGACAAGTACATGCAAGTCAGACCGAAGTGCATTACATTAAATTAAAGATTCAAGGAAATGATTCAAAGTCAGCTAGCTGTGAAACTGAACAAATAATATAATAAATTATAATACTTTAGTTTAAGCATAATTTAAGACATTACTAAGAGCATTTGTGGCTTACTTATGTACATTGTAACATTTATGAATTTATACATGAATTTAAACAGGTTTTTGGAATCAAATGGTTGAATTTGTACTATGCAACCAAATCACATAGATGGAAACATTAATGGTTTTGAGATGCCCTGTCATAAAGATATTAAGGATTACTTAGTACATATTGAAATTGTTTTTCTTCAAAATTTGTTCATTTTTCTAATGAGGTACTCTTATATTTGACATTTAAAAAAAATTGACACAAAATAGTGCAGAAATGGTACGCTGCAACAAAAATAGCCAAAACAATAAACTGTAAACCAGCCGCTGTTAAACTTATCACTATTAATCAAATGATACAAATTCTTAAAATGATTTTTGTATCCATTAAGTTTATGTCAAAGTTGTCTTACACGAGGTCACGGTGTTCCACAAATTATACATTTGAACAAATCTATTGTACGTTTACAATAATGCCAATACTTTAAGCATAAATGAAGTAACTGATACTTGTTTAGCTGTACAAAGCAACAGAATGCAAGAAAAGCTTTTAGGAAATGCAATGCTTATTTGAAAAGCAGAATTAATAATTGAGGATGAAAGTTCGTTTCCTGTCCCATTCTCATGTCAAGTAAATAGAAGATACCTTTTTGGGACTTGAGTCACAGAGCTCGTATCAGGAGCTTGCGACACCATCACGGTGTCTTTATCAACTGGCATTGTTGTGGCCCTCACATGACCCATCACGTGACCAAGCTTGGTCACATGACAGGAGGCGGTCGTTCACGTGGGCCAGATCATACCCTCCATCTGTGTTCATATCAGGGCAATGCCTGCGGATTTCTACTGCCTCACGGACAATGTTAAGACCATCGCCAAGGAGGACGACCTCTGGAAGCGCAAAATCTGTGAGGAAGTAGAAATCCACAGGCACTGCCCCTATATGAACACGGATGGAGGGTACGAGCTGGCCCACATGTATGACCGCCTCCTGTCATGTGACCAAGCTGGGTCACATGACGGGTAACGACAATGCCAGTTGATAAAGACATCATGATGGTATCGCAAGCTCCTGATACGAGCTCTGTAACTCAAGTCAGTTTACCAGCATTAAAAAGTTGGAAACTTATTCAGACCATAAATTACAATGTTATTGCATATAAAATGCACAAGAATTTTCTTACAAGCAGAAGCAAGTATTTTACATTAGAGTACAATTTACAAAATAAATACTGTGTAGTCAGTGATCATAGGATTGAAATTATCAACAGCTTAACTGAAATTTGTTTGAAGACAGTGAAGCATACAGTGCTGAAGTCATGTACGTTTCCATGAGCACAAATTTGTATAAGTATGAGTGCGAGAAAGACTATTTTGTCATGGGTATGAGTAGGAGTACAGGTAATTTGTTCTGCTTCTCATACAATCAGGTTTCAAATAATCAAGGGAGGACTCAAGCATGCTGACTCCAGAAAATGAAAATGTCATTTCATTTTGTGTTATAATACCATTCATTATACTGTCTGTTTCGATAGTACAGCATAATTTGGATATGACATTTTGACCTCAAATTCCAGATTCATTAACTGAGTAGATTTGATGACATGTACAGTGTCTTTCACTTGCTTTGCCGAAGAGATGATATTTGATGTTCCGTAATGTCCCCATTAGTTCTTGAACACATACATGTAGTTCATGTAAATCCAACCGATAGCTTAGTTTTTAATTGCTTAATGAAATAAGGCTATACCGTATGAGACTTGTTTTCTGTACAAGTTATTTATAAGTTAAACTGATACCAATCGGACAGTTAAAATATAGTTCCTTGGGTTTTGGTGGCTTTGTTTAAAAAATTCAAGGCACATACATTTGTAGTACTAAAAAATGGTGTTCAAAAAGTACAAAAGTATTATATATTTTACAAAAAGTGTAAAATGCTATAACAGTGCATCTTTGGCTGTCATAGAAAGTGGGGTGCTGGGAGTTTAAAAAGTTTGGAAAAAACAGTTTACATTAATGTCTTTTTCTTTGGTAGTAGGGTGGGAGGGATATGTGTAAGTTTTACAAAAAGTAATACAGGTGATCTTAACATTTAAAAACAGTACATCATGGCAGTGTAATGATAGTAATTTACAGTGTTTAGTTGAGTTCATCACAAGCCTAGTCGCAAGTAAATCATAAGTCATTTCACAAGTCTACAAGTAAGAGGAAAGAACAGTAACAAAGGAATGCCTTTGCCATAGTTCATTTGAATAGCTTGTCACTTGACTTACTTGTGGTTGACTTGTGACAGGCTCGACTACGACACCTGTCATATCTCAAGATGGCTTACATTGTACATTGACTTACAACATAACTCAAGGAATAACATGATTATGTCTAGGCATCTTGTGAATTGGTCGTGTGCAGTTATGTCTCGTCATCAGTTCATGAGTCTGAAACCATTTACATGCGCCACCATCATGTCTAACACAAGATGAGTGTAGGTTGTGACATTGGTCAGTCATTGGATCCCAGAAGCAGCTGTCTCCTTGCTCTGCACGCTCCTTCTCTTGCTGTCCACATGGAGAAAACTTCCCGCAGGTGTCAATCTGTGGCATTGATGACAAAGTCAAGAAAAACATCTATTCAATCAGAAGTATTCACATTTCAATTCTCAAGAGAAATACATGTTGAGAGCTTAGTTCACAAACATATTTTGTTCTCTTTTCGGTGGTCAATTTGTTTGTATTAATGACAAAAGTTGAGAAAAAATATTTTCAGTCAGTTATGCTTCATCTACATTTCATTTTAAAAGGATGACAATTTGATGACTTGGTGGATCATGTTTTGTTTCTTTTTTTTTCATGGGTTTGAGATAAATAAGTTTGCATTTGAGAACTTGTTTGAAGTGCTGTTTTGATCATTGGCACAGATATGGACATGTAGCCCTGATTGTGTAAGATTTTATTCTTGATTAATTCAAATGAATTGAGTGGCTTGTGCTGGCTTCTACATATTGACTATGCCTGGTCAACATAATTTTGTTGAAGACATGTATTCTCAATGTTTGCATTCTGATGCCTTTTATATCGGCCCTTAATTAGTTATGTAACCCCTTGTCTTATGGTATTTGTTCTGGGATATAAGTTTTCCTGCAATCACCTGATTTCAAGTTTTTTTATTCGAATTGTAAACAAAAATTGGCATCATGTATGTATGTACTTTTCCTGTACACCTCAAATTTGAGGCAAGAGTGTCAGGGTCCACTTGTTAGTTTCTTGTTTCTGCTGCTTACCTGACATGAATCACAGTTCTTCTCGTACCAGTATCTTAAACCTCGTCTCTGATGTTTGGATAGTTGTGACCATGGTTCCCTCCAGTTACAATTGGTGAACTTCAGTTTGGTATCGGTGAGTAGACCTGCAAATCATAACGAGTTGAAAGTTACTTTTCTCTAATTTGCATTAATTTCTGATTTGTTGTCTTGTTAGGATCATGGTTGTGAAAAAAAGCAGCTGTAGGTTCCCCCAAAAAATCGTTTCCCCCCCTCCATTTTTGTGGCTATAAATGTACTAGTTTGCTTGCATATCCTGGTTGTTTCATGTGAAAAAAAATTACTACTGGTATGTATACAACATTTGCAAACAACAGAGGGCGCTATCATCACTTTACAATGAAGCTTTACTGATAACTTTTTAATAGCCTCAACACTCAGCCAAAAAGATGCACAATCCTTGAAGTTAGTGACGTGACCAAATATAATCGTATTTAACATTTTGAGTATTATCTATTAGAACTGTTGTCTTAATTATTAACTGCTGGGAAACAATTAACTTGACTTCATGTTATGAACAGTGCCAAGTTTGAGAAAAAGGAATTATAGTTGGTTCTATAATTAAATGGGGATAAGCTATCAAGGCAGATCGTTGTGATTGTCTAGTCCAAAAAAAATTGATTGATAATTCTAAGAATAAACACATTTACACTGTTTGTTTAAATGTTTTCAGAATTGATTCAAGGATCGAAAGCTTACTCACCCATAATGACATAAGTTTTGCCGACCTCCAGATCAGCCACTCCACACATTGATTCATAGTAAGATGTCACAATCTCAGGATGACTACCAACGGCAATAAACTGATGTCCTTTGTAGACTTCCCTGACCCATAGCTTGTAAGATCTCTGGGCACTAGTCAGCACTGGTAAGGGCAGTTTCTGCAGATTGTGAGCATCGTAGCCTTTCTTGACTAACATCTTCTCTGACTTGATTCTGGCTTTGATTACTGTGGAAGAATAGAATGCAGTTGAGAAATAAGTTTAGTGTTCTGGAGAGTTGAGACATTTACAATGACGAATCAAATCTTTGTTTCCACTCACTAGGCTTGTAAGTTTTCCCTGGTATTGTGGTAAGCTGTGTTTTTTTTCTACTTATAAAGTTTTCTACATCTCAAAATATGTAGAGTTTCTTTTGTAAAACCAAAATGTTATTGTTAGACTGTCTTTCAAAAAAGTTAGAGAGTCTAGTCATTGTAAATAGTTGACTACGGTTCACATTAACAAACAAACAGAACAAAAAAAACAACAACATATAAACAGTATTTGTAAACAGTTGGCAAACAGTGGCAAACTTAGAAAACTCCCAAATCCCCTAAAAAGTAGATTATCTTTACAAACAAGAAGAAGCCTAAATGATAAACAAAAAGATAAACAGAATCAGACTGTTAGATTTAACAATAACATGCACCTGCTATTTGGAACATGTAAAATCCTTGACTGCAACACCTGTCCTTGATCAAACAGAAGCCATTATGCAATGTGGAGCAAGGTGTAGCTGGCTATTGTTGCTGGTAGATTAGCTGATAATTGTTTGTTGGTTTAGTCATTTATACTGCCTTTATGTAAACTATGGCACACTCCTGCACAGTCTATTATGTGCTATGGGGCAGTTTTATGGCACTGCTAAGCATTTGATCTTGTGCATCCCTAATTACATGTACAAGTTGCAATTTATTTTATGGTGAGACAAAATAAAATGCTGAATGTCTTGGGGAAAAAATGCAGGATTGAAACATTGAGCAATGAAGTATTTAGCAAAAATGGAAACACACACACAAAACACCCAAAATAAAAAAAGAAGAAATCAAGAACAAACCCCCAATCCAATGCAAAACTAGTATCTGACCATCTAACAAATGAAACTAACTGTTGACTGCATTGAATAAGTTTTAGTTTTTGTATTTTGAGTTTTTTTTAATCTGCTTCTCCCATTTACATTGTACTGTGCAGCTGTTCTAGACTTCTTGTTTGGCCCATTTACTATGGATACTTTGCCAGTAAACAATGTGATACTAAACATACACTAGAGTAAGGCCACTTCACTAAGCCATTGTAATGACAATGAACTAGTTGCTGTGAATCAGTCATATGGTTAGAGGACAATCAACGCTGACCAAGGAATAGACTAGTGGCGTCACTGCTTTCCAGACAGAGGATGAATACCGAGTAATCAGAATAGAGAGACAACAAGCATCTAGTCCAGTTACCATGGGGAGGGGATTTCATTAACTCTTGTTTGTATCACTTTTGTTGGTCTTGTTTATTCAGGAAAGTTGCCTCATTCATATCGGTTGTGGATGACTGGCTCATGCAAGCATGGGGGGTGGGGGGGTTGTGGTAAATTTAAAGGACGTTGGAAATAATAAAAGAACCCTGAGGGCTTTTGGCACGCGACGCCACGCGAAGCCGCACGAGTGGGGGGTTGTGAGTGGCATTGTGCATCTATCATCGTTGTTGTCAAACAAAGAGAAAAGCTATGTCAGTAAGGAGCTTAAGCCTGCCTGGTATTGTCTGCCGCTGCCAAAACTTTCAGCTTTTATTCCGAGTACCCGCTCCATTGATTGACAAAAGGTTACTGGGAACAAAAGAACATCTGCATGACGCGTGCCTGGCATCACTAATCAGCCAAAATACTGGCTGGATAAAGTGTCGGCCATCCCAAATAGAACTGCAGGAGTGTTTTGTAGCTGCTGAAGTTAAAGAAATTAGTCCAAAGCTGTTGCTGGGACTACATAATAAGGTTTTTTCTCAGGATAATCTTTGGATCACGTTAAACCCCTTAAAATTGCTTCTTTTTCCTCCAATTTGTAATGCGTCTTACTTGTTGGTGGATGATGGTTACCGGTACTTGAATTGACAGGACAAAAAGGAAACTTAACAATAATCCCAAAGTAATGTTGTCAACTGATAGGAAGTGGTGTGATAATCTGAGAAGTTAATACTCCGACTATCAAGCATTTCAGCAAATTATCCTCTTGCATTATGAATTCTTTTGCATTTTGCAAACTCATACACTACAATTAAACTGTGAACCAATTTAAAGGGTTTTGTTTTTGTAGCAGTATGTTCTGGAGTTGCACCTTTTGATGCAACATGAATGCACCAAACATAGGGAGTACACTTTTAAATAAATAAATGAATCGTGGCAGCTTTGTTGATGAGACAGTGTGAAGCAAGTTCATGAAAGATTAAAATTGAAAACATTTCAAACAAATAGGGCCTAAAAATAAGGTGAGAAAAAAAACACCATACTTTAAGTCCATAGTCGTGCCTGACCAAAATTCTTTTTCAACCAGCAAACCAAACAACCAGGATTATGAGTAAGCCTGACTCTCATGATTATGGACTTTATCATGGATTATTTTTTTTTTATTTGAAAGGTAAATGTACAATTAAAATTGGTCTGTGAAAGGAGTTAGAAAGGTAACTTCGGATTTAAATCTGCAGCTGTAATCAGAATGCTTGTGGGTCCAAACATTTTTGTAAAAACGAGATATTTCAGGAGCTTCATGAACAGTTTATTTATAAAAATTCCAGAGTTTACTCATTTACTCACCCATCTATGTTGTAAAAGGAAAGTGAACTTACCAAAATGTGAGTTGCAGAAGTGGTGTTGTGTGTGTTGTGGTAGACAGGAGCACGCAGCAACATGCTCAAGATGGCTCGCTATCATCATCAGGAGAAATAAACACCCAGAAACATCACTGGATGAAAACGTTGCCATCGTAGATCAGTAGCTGATGAGCGTCCAGCCAATCCAACGATACTTGCAAAGCTTCTCTCTCTGATCAATGTAGACAGATAACTGTGTTCGCTTCACCAACCAACTTGTGCTTGAAGTGAGACTGAAGTTGCAACTGATCCAGCATGGGTATCAAGCAAGACCTGTATATTTCAATTCTCACTCGTTGAACACCAAACAACAACTAACATCACCCCCAGAACCCAGCGTAGTCTAATATTGATCGTTGGTATACAGTACACAGCTGCTTTATTGACTTAGTCCCTGTTTACCACCAATAGGAGGCAAGCTAGCCAGCCAGCCGTAGCCAGGAACTACCCCCTCGTGTCGCCCTTTGTTCATTAGTGCAAACCCTTCAGCGCACCCCTCCACAATACACCTGCACGTGTGTGGTGTGTGCGTGAGTGTGGAGGGACCCATCTATTGTCCCATTGGACTAGGGACTCTGTACCAAGTCAAGTGGGACCTAATTAAAAAAAAATTGTGGTTTAGCCGATTAGCATGCAAATGATTTCGGTTGAGCCTTATGTTGTACAATTAGGATATGTACAATTTGTATAGAGCAAATTGATAAAATATGCTGGTAGCAGTTAGCAGTTCCATGTAAAAAGTACTGCCTATTCCAAGAAAATCATTTGATCATCAGTATCATAGTTTTGAAAGAAATTGAGACTACAAACCAACTTGTTTGGGATGAAGTCTTAACTAATTCACTGAAGATACAGTTATTCCCTCCTATGGTTCCTTGGCTTGAGGACAACAGAAACCAGTAGAAGTTTCACCACTTATCACCACTTGTGTGATTGACTTTTTCTGGGGTTCCTAAGAATTGCATTTGGATGATTGATACCTGAAAACAATGTCTGCAGTTAGTCAGAGTAAAGATGCTTTTTAGGAGTCTACACATCAAGCATCAAGCATCTTTGAAATTATTTCATGGAATTGCTTGCATCAAACCTTGAATGTGAAACAAATGCACAGTGGCAGGGGAGATGATTTATGACTCGAATTTGATGAGTACAGAAAACGTGGAGGGCTTTTGAAATATAACTGGCATCAAAGGAAACTTGGACTTTGGAATGATTTGTTCAAACGTTCATTCGTGGATTGCTTTGGTAAATCTTCTTTTTGAGAAATGGGTGAATCATCATGTCTGGCATAAATTAGAAAATTAAAAGATGTCTTTGCTGAGGTGGACCTATTGATTTCCTGCCATATTGATTATTGTATAATTATATGTCGAAGGTTTCTGTTGGAGTTGATTTGAAAAATGATGTTGTTTTTTTTAAAGAAAAATTGAGATCTTGAACCCATTTCTGTTCCACACAGAGGTGCCCCAAACTGTCCTGTCAGTCAGTATTTCCCCAAACCACCCAATAATGTATAGTTGTATGGATTCAAGGAGTGTATAATGTGAAATACAATGTGATACATTGGACTAAAATTGATTGGACAAAAAAGCTAATATATATTATATTCTGTTTTTCAATTCGTACATCATGATATCAGCAATTATATGAGGATAATATTGGGAAATACCAAATGTATTGACCATGGGCCATCATGGAGACTTCAGGGGTGGACATACATGTACCGAATCTTTTGCATGTTGAGATATTTAGGCTCTGTGCCTTTTGTCCTGGTAATGAGGCTCTGGACTCTTTGGCAATTGATTTTAGACTTCCGCTAGTCCTTTGAGACACAACAATGCATTATTGATTAATCCATAGAGTTGGTTTATCCCACTGCACTTTGATGGCTCTTCAAAGTTTTTGTTAAATGTTGTCTTTCAAGTCCAGACTTGAAGTCTATAACCAAAAAAAATATTTAAGCAGATAAAGTGTCATTGAAGCAACCCACTTGTCCATAATTGTCATAGTTAAAAGCTATGGATCCTGACACTAAAGCCTAATTCACAATAAATTGAAAATCTGGCCATATTTCCCTTTTTTCCAGCCAGATTACATGTTGTTTGTTTGTCAGTCTTTGCATCTACGGTGATCTACCTGCCTAATTCTGTAGTATTTTTGTTCTTTGTCCACCTCGTGCTTTTTTTTTCATTCAACAGTTCTCCCAGCTGCATATCTTTTGTCTTTCCTAACTGTTTAAATTGTGTCTTTATTGAACCTTTATTCATCGCAACCTGTTTTTTTTGGCTCACATGCAACATTGCTTTAATTCAGTCTGAACTATTTCTCTTTATAATTAATAGCCACTAATTCTTTAATGGGCTGAAATAATAACAAACTGAGCTGATCTAAAAGTTCTTGTCAGTTATTAAGCAACACACACTGGCTTGGTCGAACAAAGAAAGAAATTAATTTGATTGTATCATTTTATGGGTGGGGGGGGGGGGGTTGTAGGGATGGGGATGGAAGGTCAGCATCTGCATCAAATTGAGCCCAGATATTGGCAAATGTCCTGAGTCTATCCATATTTTGTTTAAGTGTGCAGCAAGAGTTGTGCTCAATACTGCACTTTAGAAATATCCTTGACTTTTTTGTATCTTTTATAAACCAAATTATATTTGAAATCAGTGATCCATTTAACTATCTGATTTTTGAAGCCAGGTGATGGGTATTGTCCGTATGATTTCCCGCCTTTTTTTATGGTGACAATTATTCTGGATCATTTAAGCGAAACCATCCTGGAAACGACTATAAGTCATTTTTCAGTCTGTCTATTCTGAGTCCATTTCCAATAAGGTACCTGCGTGTACCTGTACGGTCTGTTGATTGCCTGTACAACTTTCAATAGTTTGTCTTTGTTAGTCACTGCAGAGTGCAGACCCATGCGCACCTGCAGTTTGCAGTTCCCCAGGCTAGAACGTGGCATGTTCAATCTTGTAGAGCCTATGGGAAAGTCTGTTGCATTTGTGTTTGCTAGTAGTACAAATGTACAATAAAATGAATTATATAGCAAGGCTTATTGACTCGAGGAAGTATAGGAGTAAAATAAAATCTCAAAATCAGGTTTGAAGGGCTGATCCACAGTCATCATAGTAACCTCCATTGATTCTTTTTTCCCTGGAGCACCTTGTTGTATCCAAAACGTGGACTCACTAAATTTGGTAAATTGGGGACAGCATTTGAAAAAGTAAGTTTTTGTCGGTTGAAAACTGATACAAAATCCACTTTTCTTGAAAATGACAGCACACCAGGTTCCATGATTTCACAGGATGCTTGAGACTATTAATCACTTACAGTCAAGTAAGGTATTTGATAATAATTTGGTAGTTTTCTTTTTTTTTTAAGTTTGCACATTATGACATGTATGTACCTTTAATTTTTTTAATCAAAATGCTGTGTAAGAATTTTGATAATGCAGTCGATTGTTGACTTTTAAGGGCTTTGTATTGGAAAGAAATGAGCTACTGGTATGTATGCACTTTGTAAAGAAAAGAGATCCCTTTCTGCTGATTAGCACTTCAGTGAAGTGTTATACTGCCCTCTGTTGGTAAGACCACATGTCTTCGTTCTTGCATACAGTGAACTAATAATTTGGTGATTTGGTGAGCTTGACCCACGTACAACATATTATTTGGGATACTGTAGGCCTACGAGTAAAGATGTGTCTTTAAAAAAAAGAAGCAAAAATACTATTTGACATGGTCATATTTAGCCTTATAATATTCAGCCCCCAATATAAATTTCCTTTCGCAACATTTACATTGGATTCAGCTGAAATTACAAAATATGTAAACCAAACGGGTTGGGGGGTATCACTTTTACCTTGACAACAAATTGAAAATGAGTAAAATCAGCCTACGTAATCCACATTTAATCTCCTTCCTGGATCTATAGTGTGAACACATACAACGTATGTTGTTGTACTGTACATCATACATGTCTTATTTGAATGCAATTCTCAAATATTCTTTTTTTGCTTGCTGTAGTAGTTTTGTTTCTTTTCGAGTGACAAAAAGTGTTTTTATTCTCGTTTATTCTTCTGTTCTATCTGGATAATCCAATCTAGTAATAAGGTGATGATGAAGTTATATAATTATGAAAATATATCTGTATTCAGACTTCCAAGTGCTAGTTTCCATGAATTCTAAAAATAAACACTGTACATTCCCAAGTTGTTGTTCTACATCAAGACATTCCATCTGTAACCTTTGACCTTTGATAGAGGCTATAATTGGCAGGTGAAGTCACAGGATATGGATTACAATGTGATCTTGACTCTTCCTAAGTCACCTGTTTTCTGCACAGGTGGGGTCCATCATTCTACTCCTATACTTGTATACATGTCAAAGGTCCTGTCTCGGCATGAAAATTTAGTCCTCAGATTTCCAAGTTGGCAAAATTCCATTGGGAGTTTTATATCGTGTCCCAGTAGCTCACGTAGATCACGTTCAGTGTTCACTTGTTGGCTTTGACAGGAATGTCCTTATTTCCTGCTAATAAAACATGCACATACTCTGGCATCTTGCCACATATTATTGTGACCACTGAATATATTGTTACCACCCTCCCAAATCAATTCCAGTGCCATGTAAATAGCACACCCACCTGTTTGATATATTTTCATCAGGTATATTTCACTTGTAGGCTAGGATTTCCTATTTTTTCTCCTTTCATTTTCCTCCATTTTGCAGCATTCTGTACTGTAGACATTTTGGGGTCTGCAGGACACATTTCCCCATTTTTTTTCTGAGGGTCAAATATATGATGTCAGTTATAACAAAATTATGTAGGGAAACACTTTCAATCAACTGGAAGAAGATGATAAAAGATATTTCTTCAATATGTATTTATTCATCAGTTTGGTGCTCATTTTGAAATTTCAAATAGTGGATAAACAAATCCAGTGATTCAGAAAACAGTTTACATTTTATAGATTTTATATACTATACACAGAGTAATATACAATGTACCACTGAAAATAGAATCTAAACGCATAACACAAATGCAGATACTTTTACATCTTTATGTTCACACATTTAAATTTGTGCATTTTTTAGTATTGCCTCAATATGGACCATTGTAACTTTTAATACAATTTTGCTGAATGTGAATTTGTTCAACTTTCTGTATCTCTGAAATGAGTCTGTTCCTGTGAGTTCATATAGTTTGACCGGACTGTTGCTTGAATGCTAGTATCCTGCGTGACTAAACACAAGTCCCATTTTTAACCTCCAAATCCCCAGGAACTATAACAGGACATCCTCATTGTAAATCAAGCCTATAATTCAGGACGTCAAGAAATGAAGGTCACATAATGGAACTCAACACTACCGGTACCTTATTCATGACATTTTCTGACTAAAACCGTAATTCGTTTATTTAAATCAATCTAGAATTAGAGTGTGAAAGTCATGTCTAGTTTGTAATTCCTCAACAAATATTCTCTATTCTTTTAACGTTCAGTTTACTCTCTTAAATTCTTCTGTTTGTACTCCTAATACAAATTAGATACCCCTTTTGTCCATATTGTTCTTTAATCTCTTTTACTGCCTACAGTGTGAGAAGTGATATAGCACAGACAGTTCAACATTTTCACAGCTTAGGTGTAACAAAAAGCTTAGTTTTATAGGAAAATATAGATAGGAAAATATTAGGATAAAGCTTTAATAAACAGGAATACTTGTATGATACAAAGTATGTACAATACTCATATAGGTAGCTGATTAATTAGAAGTAACAGCCCAGATATTAACTTGACCTTTGATTTGACAAGTGTTGAATGATCTGGATTGTGCCTCCTATTTTGTTGATAGGATTTGCTTTTATATTAAGCATTGCCTCAGGAAGCTTTTCTAAGGCATATAGCATTGTTTATAGTCTTTGTTTCGTTGCCACTTACAAGCTGACTTGGAGCGTGAGCAGTAGGAATGCTGGCCCTCGCAACTGTTTGCCATCCTTGCGATATCGAACATACAGACATCATCGCTGGGCTGGACATACTTGCAGGTGGTTCTGTAGCAGTTAGCAATCTGAGGAAACACATAATGGAAAGAAAATGAAGATAATCTAAATGAGCTATTGTCAATCTCTTCGAGCAAATGGCGCCAGTTAGAAGCTATAAACCTGTATACATGTACAGTAGCCAAGGATCACGGCCAAAGTCAAGATGCTAGCAACATTAGCAATGTTTCAAAACTGGCAAATAGTATACAGAGAGAAAGGAGAGCAAGTTGTACTAACTTGTCACTTAAGAAGTTGGCTGTATGAAGATAACAATGTGTACTTGACCATCTCCTATTACTCCTTATTGACTTTTGCCTGGCCTTCAGCATCACCCTTCTGCCATTTCAGTCACGCCTTTTCCATACTCAACCCCATTAGTTGCCTTTATACATCTTTGTCTATATCCTCCCATCCCCAACATGTCTTAGTGCTTCCTCAACAGTAACAAAGATAGAGCTAAGAGGGTCTTTAAGAATGCATTGCTGCAATGTGTCTGGCATGCATGCCAAAACAGTTTTGTGCACAATAATTCGTGCATACTCTGCACCAGTGCATGTGTTCTGCATACATAGATTTCATATCCTGGTGACATTGCCACTGTATTAAACTCCCCTAGCCACCCCAATCTACATTCTCTCTGTTAGTCTTACCCTGCAATCTCCACAACTCTTCTTGTACATCAATTTGACTCCTCTTCGTTGAATCCTTGTCAGGCTCTTGTAAGGTACAATCCAACTGCATGTGCTGATACGAAGTTCATTGTCATAAAATGTGCCTGAAAGGGGAATGTAAACCACAATTTAAATTCTAAATTTCATAACAATATTATTACAGGTACGGAATAGATTCTTGTTCAAAAGAGTTTTAGACAAAATGAAATGAAAGTGGTGATGAGTGTTGGGTATGAGACTTAATAATAATGAAGTTTGCATGTAACTTTATACAAAAGTTACAATGTGCCATAAATTGGGTACTTTGATGAGATTTTTTTGACATTTTCGCTCCACACATGCACTTGTTTCAACTGGTACCATCTTAAATCATACATGTTTTGCCTGCATTGCTTTTTAGACTCATCGTAAAGCCATAAAAAGCATGATTAGGCTAATAAAACCAATGTGGATAAATGCTGGCAGGGTAAATCATAGAATTGATGATTGACAGATCAACTCTACAGTAAAAGCGGCAGTTAAAGTTGCGTGTAAACTAGACCAGTTTGAAATAATGTTTCCACAACTATCTCAACATGAAATTGTTCACTGTCATAATAGACTGATCCACTAATTCCTACCCAATAATGTTGGTTGAACAACCGTGGTTGTGCAACCAAATGTCGGGGGGGGGGGGGGGGAAATGGACATGCATTTATCGAGCATGCAGTAAGGCTTTGGAGAGGCACACATGTTGTCAACATGCCCAGGTGACATCAGATTCTTGAGTTGTCTGTTGGTGTTGACATAATTTGTACTTACCAGCTATGACATAGGACTTTTCATCTGTCAGGTCTGTTCGTCCACATATCCCATCATTTGGCTGGGTGTAGATTTTAGCCAGAGTCTCCTGGAGATAGTTGTCTCCTTTGAAGATCTTCTCTACCTACAAAACAAAGTTCATACATGTACTTTAATGAGGAATACTCGACACAGTTTTACCTTGATGGACACTGTTTAATGGCACATTTAATTCTTTCCATCAACAGGCTCTCAGGCTCTGCAACCTTCATCACATATTATTCCATCTTTTTTTAGACTAAAAAAAATATTTGAAAAAGACTTTCAGAACCTCAGATGTCAGACTCCTTTATTTTACATTTGAGTTGTAGCAATTCGTTATTTCATAAAAGTGTTGCTACAATTAGTTACCTTCACTGTATACTCCAACTTGATTGGCCTGTTGTCTTCCTGCGTCTCAGAAGAGAAACCAGGAGCCATGAAAACAGGAGCCATCATTCCCGCCGGTGGACGACGCTGTAGTAACTCTCCTGGAACCTCTGCTAAATTCCCCATCACTAAGGCTTCCTCCTCATCAACTACAGACCAGTAGTCTGATGAGGGTTCTGCTGTGGGTTCTGTCGTGGGTTCTGTTGCTGGTGCTTGTGTTGGCTTGTAGATGTATTGGCTGCTAACAACACTTGCCTTGACGACTGTTGGGAAATGTTACATTGATGACCATTAATAACATTATTGAGGGCTTTCTCATCACTTTTTGTGTGGATTCTTGGAGTGATAGACACTTTTAAATCAATCAATTGAACCATTATTGTTTCTTGCACATAAACTGAATATGAAGAATGGGTGGAAAGCTGGTTTGGCATTTACACAATGCCTTTGTGAACGTTTGTGATGACAAGTAGAGGTGTTTGAATCATCTGATTATGGACGAACATTTGAAAAATCCTTTGGAAGCAAAAGTGATCTTTATTTTTGGTGAACACTAAAGGAGAGCTGATATTTTTGGGGTTCGCTCATAAGTCCGACGCCTCATATAGGTCCGACGCCTCATAAGTCTGACAAAATCGCATCCCCTAACCAAATAAAGGCCCATAAGTCCGACACTTTCGGACTTATGAAGCGTCGGACCTATGAGGTGTTGGACTTATGACACGGCCCCATATTCTTTTGATTAATTCGTTGCATATTCGCTCAATAAAGGTTGCTTATTATATGAAAGGAAAGAGAGAAATGACCAAGAGATTTGTATTGCTTTGTATTTAACTTATCCAACACCTTCGTATTTATATGAAGCATCCATCATCATAGTAATCATCAAAATAAAACGGTTGGTTGATTTATAAAAATTAATACCGGTATCTCCACATCTGTTGTGATCAGGTTGTTGGTGAATTATTTCTGTATTGTAATTAAATTTCCAAAATATTTCAGTAACACTTCAACTTGTGAGCCCTGGACCATGACATAACGTCATCATCCAACATGTTCAGTGATTGTAACCTACAGTGATTGAAATGAAATGAAGGAATCCTGTTGTGATGTCTTTGTCCTTGAGAACTTATGATGAGGAATACATGACAACATGTATAGCTTGTCTGCTCCTAATGTGGTCTACAAATTTGTGTGTTCCTTCTTATTCCCTTGTGTTTGACTTATCTCAGAAATTTCAATTTCTTTTACAGTTAAACTAGACCAAGGTAAAAGTAACTGCAATTGGAAAGAATTTATTCACAAACTTGCAGTTCTTTCATTCAATATGCAGGCATGCAACTTTTCCAGGGAACAGCTGATTTCCTCTTTTTTGACTCCTCATGGGTGTCATTGAAAATAGAAAAACACTGTACAAAGTGTTGGAAAGATTTGAATTTCCTCTTTTTTTGTTGACTTTCCAGTTGCATGCCTGAATATGCTAATTATGTTTGGATAATTTTGTGAATTGAAACAAGGTCTAATAAACCTGTATTTTGTCAAACTGCTACTGTTTTGAAGGTGGCAACTACACAGTTTCTGACACATTGTCATATTAACCAGACACAAAATAATCAATTTAATTAATAATGTGTAAACTGGGTGACGTCTGATGTTTACATTCCAAGCAGCCATTGTATTTTAGGATATACATGTAATGTAAGTGAGCCCTATTGCAGTGTACTATCAAAGGTCCTTGGTCTGAGTGCATTGACATGAGGCACCCACCTACAGGAAAGTACTGTGTGGTGTTAAGTTGCAAGATTTAAAGGAACTCTGTTTAGCTAAAGGTCTCTCAAGTTCACATTCCAGCATTCTCATGAGATTACCGTCAGAAGGGATGAAGGAAAACAGGTTAATCTATTGTGCCGATGTTTTGTCAGCATTCCACATTATATTCTTTCCTCAAAGTGTTCAAGCTTTTGGATGGTTCGTGAGCGGCATAAGGTAGGATTGGTTGACCACACAGGAGTATTTTTACAGCCTGCTCAATGAATGCAGTAAATACACAGCCTACTCACTAAATTCAATAAACATAGAACAGTACAGGGCAGTGGAGATACATGTAAGTTAAGTGGCAGCAAATTACAATTTCAAAGATCATGAAGGAAGACTTTAAGCAAAATGGAACATGTTTTTCAAAAAGATGAATTTTGTTACCGTGACTTAATAAAATACATTGAGATCTTATAGCCCTAACAGTCCTGAATCCTCCAATTACGATTTTGCACACCCCCTAGGGAGTTAGGGTTAAATGTTTGAAAAGATCATTTTATGAAGATATTTTTCATTCAAATGACTCTTCATTCTAAAATAGTCAAATGTTGTAGATACAATCTGTTTAACAGTTAATATTGACATAACAGATTCAGAGATGCCAACCATTACTCTTTTGGAGTAATTATTAGGATTTTGAGGTATGCTACTACTCTTGAAAGTTCCAGCTGTCCTATACGCCAACATTGTGGTTACTCTGAAAAGTACTGTGGCTACTCTTAAACTTGACTGTTGTACTATGTATTTACATTAGCATTACTCTTTGCAGGAAGAATCATTATTATTTTGTAGTCTGTAAAGTTGGCATCTCTGACGATTTGTGAAGTGTAAGTCCTGAATCTGAACTCAAAGGAAGTTGGGTTTAATAATCCAGAACAATTGGGTTATGAAACAATGGCTTATTGCTAAATGTGTTGTCAGTCAGCATGTGACTCATTTTAATTTGCTTGTTTACTGTTCAAAAGAGGAAATCCAGAATTATGAAGAACAAGGCACCTTCGCTGCTTTGCATGGATATATTCTAACATTTAGATATATGCTAATTTTTACTTTTATTATAGCCAGACATTCCATTGTGTCATCATCAATTGCTTCTTCTTATCAGACATCTCTTATCTTCATTTCCTTGTTCCTTTCCTTTGGGCACATCCTCATTTCAAATCTTCTCTTATCAGAACTTCTAGACACTTTTCCTGGCTGGATATGTGGTTGTCTGGATTTTATTTTCAGTTTAGAAAACACCAAACTTACTACCATGGCTAAAACATATAAAAGTCAAGAAAAAGAATCCCAAATACTTATCTGAAATGTAATTTGTTAGCTGGCAGACTTTGTTTTCAATTTTAAAGTATTGGTTCTTATAACTGTTTTAATTAAATTCTTGTCATTGTGTTAAGTTTTGGTTGGTGAAATATGACCTCCAACAAAAACACATAGATGTGATTTCAAATGAGCGTGTTTTGCACTTACCTTTTGTACGTTAATTACAGTTCATCCACGTTCTTTTAAGGAGACATTGGCAAATCTTAATTGTTTTCATTGCAACAGAGAAACTTTACTTAGGGCCTCTATAACTTCATTAGTGCATTATCTGCTGTTACAATTATTTATGATTTGTTTAAATAGCTACATGTACTTTGTAATTTATTATGCAGTTATCTGTTTGAGTCATTACAAAACCAAGATGTTTCTTGTAAAAATGTTTTTAAAATGTGCTAATATGTGTAAAGCCAAGTTAAATCAAATTATTGCCTTTACCAGGGTATTTTGCTATGTTTGTTTGAAACCATGACATGTTGCCTCTCATAAGTAACAAAAGTTGAAACAGTGACTTGAAACATTAACCAAAAATGAGTGGATACTCACCAAAGTCTGCTCTGCAGAACTGGTCTTGTGGATGCGAAGGAGCACAACTACATGCCTGACTTCCAGTCAGATATGTAAACAACACACCAACCAGAATAACAACACTAACAGCCCTCATAGTGTGAAACAAGGATTGTCTACTAAACAACAAAACTGTAAAGTCAAACTTTTTGAGTCAAAGCACGCTTTGCAGGACACTTGACTTCCGCCACCAGTACTTGAGCTGTGCTGTTTGAAGTCCGAGTGTGTTGAGTTGTCAAATCATGGAACACTGACTGGGAATGCAAAACCTCTGCCCTTTATATCTTCCTGCTCCCTCGGCTGTTCCAGTATGTGGTTTGACCCCTCTGGGCAGAGTTCCTGAAGCATCACCCACGTATCTGGCCAATGAGACGGCATTTTGGTCAAAGCAGACACCAGTTTTGTTGTTACTGTATAAACAGGAAATGTCTTTGCTTTTGTTGATATTCATGAAAGTTTTAGTAACTTTATCACCGACTGATTTTATTTCTTAGAAAAGGTGTGTGTGATTGGGTACAAAAATGTGGTCATTTGGTTGAAATGAATGTTACATGTACACGTACATGTATGTGTAATTTAAAAAAATGTTTGGCTTGTATGTATCATCAAGTAACAGAATAATTGAAAAAATATAATATAATAGAAAACATAGGAAACGGTAATCAGTTCATTTCAAAAACTTTTGAAATAAAGACTTATAAAGTGGAACAATTATTCAAGAAACTCCAAGAATAAGTTATTCCTAAATTCATTGCGACACAAATGCAAATAGCAACCAGTGTAACGTTGGACCAGTGTTCAGACTTCAATGGTGTCTTTAACCTCCAAGATTCAAGAATTAGCATGGAAGATATGGTTTGGAAGTCCTGTTGTTTTATTGACCTTGTATTCTCACCTATATCACACATGTCTCCTGTAATATTAACCATATCCTGACTCCTGTCTGGCAAAATGCTAGCAAAGGAAACGTCACCAAATAAAGGAAGTTTTTTCTGATGAATTGATGCTATTAAATTTCTCTTCAGTTCCGGAATTTAGCAAGGATACGGTACATGTACGTGTTTCCCGGCATTGACGTGAAATAGACATATTAAAATAGGCCATTAACCTACATCATTATGATTGAGATGACACTGAACGATTTTAATTATGGACATTTTGGTTTTGATATTGTGGGGTTGTGATTGTCTGTACTTGACTGGTGACGGTTTCTTGGGAAGTGTCAAGGCAGTTTTTTATAATTTGTTTGTTCTTCAAAATATATGGTTTTGCTGCTTGCTTTATCATGAGTTCTTTGTCCCTCATAAAATTTTTTTAAAAATCACTATCAAAATATTTTATTTTCTATAGGGGATTGTTGTTTAGGATTTGTTTTTTTCCAGTTTATATTTCTCTCTCTCATTTTTTTGTATTACTTTATTTATGTTGTTTAATTCAACTTTCTTCATGATTATCCCTTTCTCTTCCCCTTCTATCTCAGCACAGAAATTCTTCCTTTCTATCGTCACATATATACTTTTCATTCTTTTAAATGGATTTTGTTAGGCAAGGTGGTTCACTAATATAATAGCAAATTTATAACTCCTGTGAAGTTAGGTTTTTGCCAGAGGGTAGGATGCCCATAAGTAGAATAACAAGGACTTAAGACTTCCTTTCATGGTGGATTAATTCAGGGTAATGTGTATTGGGAATTAAAATTCTGTCCCTGAGTTTTTCCAAGGAAAGGATGTTCAAAAGCGGGATGAATTGACACATGATGTGCATTTTCTGCCAAGATATTGGTGGTTGTTATATTTGTAAATTGTAGTTGTGTAAATGGAGTTAGATATCCTTTCAAAGTATTTTTTCAGATAGAGGGAGGTACTACTGCAAGCGCAAGGTGGAACACTAATCAATTTCAGTAATTTGTACATTTAGTTGGAAAGTCTTTAACCAGTCTTTCCAGATAAGGGACTAGACTTATTACAGAATGACAAAGTTTGTCCCTGGAGGTTTGTTCCAAAAGGTGGAAAACAATTCAATTCTGTTAAATTGTCCAGATGGAGTCAGTAATCAGAATGACTATGTTTGTGCTATTTTTATCTCCTGAATGCGTTGGGGGGGGGGGGGGGGCGCAGCAGTGGGTAGTTGTGGTTTCATTAGGCTAGGACTTGGCCAGCAGTATAACCTTGACGTTTGTAACTGTATGTCTGGATTCTCAGTAATCTACAAGTGTGTAGGTGGTGGTCATTCCTCCCCAGGTCACATGATAGTAGCTACATGTATCAGGTGATTTGGGTCAGGTGACTATATAATCTCTGTTGGTCGCGGACATTCATTTGGGATGAGGGCCTATTGTATCAAACAGCAAGGTTAATCATGTTCCTTGCCCTATGGCAATTTGTATGTATTTTGTAACCATAAGAATTCACTTTCTGTGCTTGGAAGTAGAATTTGTTTCTTTAACGGAAATGTTAGTTCCCAGTTTATTCAATTATTTATGATTTTTTTTTACATTAAGTCACTGTCAAAAAGTTAAAAGATGACAGATTTGTTAATTTATAGAATGACCTTGATATTGGCAGTAGGCCTATATTATAACTTATCAACCAATACTAATTGATAGACAAGTGAGACTTTTCATCACATTCGTTTAGATATCAAAGTTCTAGTAGCAAGAAACTCTTCGTTTGGTTGCTGTTTTTTCCTTTTTAATTATTATAAGTAGTGAAAGAGTTGGTTGTATTTTGTTGACGTAAATGGAAAGGTTAGATTCTGGTTCCATGCTGTGATGATGTGAAGAGATGAATGCTTGACCAACAATGCATATCATTATGATCTGTCATCGACCATGTTTTCAACTTCATCCAGTCTTGAAAGGCAAAGTGGAGGCTATTTTGGTTTAATAATTATCAGATTCTTGAGCTGCTGCAGTGTGCCGTGAATACTTTCCTAGGAATTAATATGAATGAAAGGGTCAGGGGAGTGTTGATGACTCATTAAGACATAATAGCCACTCCCTCCTCTCCAAGTACAACAAATCTATAATTTATAACTATTTCAGATTTTTTGTGTGCATTGACTGCTAGGGTGCGCCTGAGTAAAATGCCAATGCCAATTTTTTTTTTATAATTTCTCATTTCTATTTGTTATAAAACTGAAATTCAATTAGCATCCAAAAAGTAAAATAAAAAAGTCTTCCTATTTATTTGTTTGTCATGTGAAATGAAAACTGCTGAAAAAGTTCTGCCGTTGGCAACATTTTGCATTCACAAAATTATCTTTCATCAACAATAACACCTTTTGGCAAAGAACTCAAAATTATCCCTAGTGATTTAAATTTCTTTGGTTTATATATACTACAATGCAATTATGTACTCAAGTAATTAGGGTTTCCCTCCAAAAGGGGACACTGTTCCAGGAAAAATCTTTGGTCTTTGATTATGAAGCGATGTATACAATGTATCTTATTCCTGCACCCTACAACCATGGTACAACCTTTGCCACTCACCACAGTAACAAGACCAGGTAATCCTGGATCTCAGCCCACTACCTCCTGCTAAGTGAAATGTGTCCTGAACACCCCACCACAAAAACCACTGAACCACCCATTGCAATATTCCTGATACTGGTTTAATTCTGTGTAAAACTAACCTTTTCTGTTGTTTTTTTCTTTTAAAAATATTTTTCAAACTGTTTGGGACCAAAACAAAATCAGTCCTGGATATTTCCACCTTCCAATCATTATGTAAAATGCAACCTTCTGAAATTAAACATTCTTGATTTGAAGTTACTCTGGTCATCCTGCTGGCTGGCTATTCCTCCCACACAATCTCCTAGACAAATTGAAATCCATCCCAAGTATCTCTTTGCCCAGCCATTTTGTCTCGCTGTGGTTTATATCTGTGCAGTTGTTTGGCCCACATTTGGGTCACATACCGGTACAACTACAAGCATGTTATTTTTTTTATTTTCAAACCAGGCACATCATGGCACCAGAACACTTTGACCTCTTCAGATCATTGCACTTATTGCGTGGGTGATGGCATGTTATTTTATTGGAGCTAACCAACCATCTGGTATGGTTGTATGTTTACCGTGACGAAGGACAATGTGGTAAATTCAATCCTTGACTATTGACTTCGGAAGCATGATTACTCAACCATAACTTCACTGCTTCTAAATCCGTATTTGAGGAAATAATTTAGAAAGTCTATGACGGTGGACATGTGTTTTTTTTCTTGGTAGGTCCATCTGTCCAAATCATCAAATGAGTTTGATTCTGGCTTTTAGTAAGACCTTCAAGTTCCCAATTGTGTTCCCTCTGACAAAGGGACAGTGAGAAAGTCAGAAAAGGGTGTAGGCGCAGGCGAAAGTGATTAGTATTAATTTTTGAAATAAATGAAAATCTATGAAAAAACTTTATGCATAATGAATCATCATTTTGTTATTGAAGATTCTAATGCAACATAATTACCATTGCAAATAATATCTATAAATCTGGATCAGGTTAGGGTTAAAAATTCATGAAATAGTTTTGAACACTAATAATCATATTTATTTAAAATTATAAACCTATTATATATGTGGGGTCTTTAAACCCTGTACATCTTAAACGTTGATAGCAAGAGACCATTCCAAGTGACAGTATTGAAATTACAATACTACATGACCTTTTGAATAAACTAGACTTGAATCTTTTCTTTTTTGTTCTTCATCTCATAAATCTGCCTTCCTTTATTAATCCATTTGTCCTTACTGCCCCAAAGTGCCTGCTTGTTACTCCTTATACCACTCCAAACCACCCAGCATTGGGGAAGCGGGTGGGAGGGGGAGGGGTCATGGATTTAATACACAATAAATACAATGTAATACAAAATAATTACAAGGGCCAATAAGGAATCTCACCCCAGTGAAATTAGACCATTTTGATTTGTAGATTGCTGGTTAGGAGCAATTTGTAGCAGTTTCATTCCTTTTTCATCAATACTTAACTACAAACCTATGTAAAGAGCTGAAGTTCCAGAATTTAGTCCTGACTGAGAAGAAGGAAAGTGTCTGGGAATTAGGATTTCTTTTGAGATTGTTTGAAAACTTTATTGTTTTTTATTGGGGTTTTTCTGGGGGGGGGGGGGGAGTGAGTGGAAGAAATTTGGGTAAATGGGGAGGGGCCAGAAGGTGATTTTGGAGGGGTGTATGTTTGTCAAGAACACGTTGAACGCACAACTGCACTTAAGGGAGTGTCTGAAAAATGGAGCAAATTTCCTAGTGTCTGGACCAAAACATTGTTCAGTTTATTTACTGGAGACACACGCGTCAAAGATGGGAATGGTCTTCCAGGCACATTTTCCAGTTGGTTTGGCCATGCAGTAACCATGGTGATAGTAGCAGTCCTCATGGGTATTGCTGTTACCGTGGATACAGGTGATGTCATTGGGTGTGGTTGGAGGACAGTAGGCATAGGGACGACAAGTGTAAATCTGAAAATAAATACAGAAGTGAGATAAATAACATTCTTGGGTTGAATTTGTAGTTTCAACTTTCATTATCTAAAGATAATTAAGAGCATCACTTCATCTCAAGTGTCCTTTTGCCTGTGCAGTATTTTTGCCTGCCAGTGTCTAATGTCAAGAGAGGGCACTGCAGTGCAATGAATACTTCTTACCTGGCATTGTGGTGCACAGCCTCTGTTGTATGCTCCATTGATACCTCGTCGCTGCATGGTAGTCAGCTCAGAGTAAGGGCGATGGAAATGACAAAATTGCAGGGAAGCTTTGCCATTCACAACATTCACTGTCAGATTGTAAGAGAATGAAATAAAGAAGACAAAGACCATAGTATGACTTGCAATGAATTGTGAATTCTTTTTAAAATCAGAAAAAAACTAGAATTGAAAACGGGTAGATTAGACACACACCACTAGAGAAACAACCTCAGTATTTCATGAAACTGGCAACATATAAACAAATTGGGCCGCAAGTATTATTTGGTTACTTGACTAATCAATCAAAGTGTCAATTATTCGGTCACAGTTTTATATTAAATTAATTGAAAACCACTTTTTGAAAATAAGGCTTCCTTTCAGAGGGCGGAGTAAGAGAACGGCCAAAATGTCTTAAATCAAAAATCTTAAACATTCCACGTAGCGCTGGACCATATGATGAGAATATATCGTCACGAATATGATGTCTGTCTAACACAAATCGGAATTACCTAAGTTTTAAATAAATCGAGATAAAGGCAATGTCGTTTTATAACGTTGCTTTTTCTCAACCCGCATTTCCTAAAAAAAAAAACCCCACCCGGGCGTTTGATTATTAAATCGAAACCGTAATCAAAAAAGGAACTATTAATCGATCAAAAAAATCTTATAAAATCAATAAACTTGTGGTCCTAAATGCAACTTTATCAGTGTGACGTTTTATCTGATGTTATTAGGGGTCACAATATTTTGAAAAAAAAAAAAAAAAGTCTGAAGGAAATATACCAAGGAAACGATTTAGATCAAGTTTAAGTATCTCTGCCTACTCAGTCAATGTAATATAAGATAGTTGGGTTCAGAGGTTCTACCTGTGAGTAAGTAACGTTGTCCAACCTCTAGCCATGGGACTCCACAAGACACATTCCTAGCTGTAGTATTGACGACCAACTCATTGTCTTGAACATTCCATAGCTGCCCTGCATATCCTTGCCCCTTCTTGACACTGGTGATGTGAATCTTGTAGCTTACAATGGTTGGTTGGCCCGATAGGATTGATGGGTCTGGTGGACCATGCAGGAATAGCTTGGTTTGAACTCTGCCAATGATGACTGAATGTGTGCAGTGGTAGGAAAAATAACAATTGATAAGTTAGGTTGGACTTATAAAAGTAGTCCAGATCTCAAGTGTAGGCCTACATGTACAAGTGTAGGGTCTCCATGTGCAAACAAGAGCTAATGTTGAGAGCCCAGTGGAGAGGACAGGGAGTGTGTGTGTATTTGTGCAAAGTACGCACAACTTCTTTAATTTGGAAGTGAGCGTTAGGCATCTTAGGCACTGCATTTGAATGTCTCCCAGTGGTCTCCCTCAATCCTCCCTTTCTTACCCCTGAAGGGGTACTTGTGCATGGAGCCCATACCCTTATTGTCCATCTTAAGTACAACCTTTTTAGTCATCAATATTTGTTTAGTCAAAACATCAGCATTTTTACTAGGTCCAAAGGACCAGCCTACTCTTTGGCTCTGTCACTGTCAGACCAGACTGAATATATGAGACTGAGATGACTAATGACTGATTTTCCCAAATAAATGGTACTTTCGCTAGCATATATCTCAATTTATCATTTTTTTTAGGGTGCTCGGGAAGACATTTGCCCACCCCACCCCAGTTGACATCACTGCAGATGCCATTTTGTTAAATGTGTATTAAATTAATAGCAAATATGACTTCACACCTCTTTTTCCTTTTTTTTCTTCTCCTTTTTGATCCCCTCTTTTTTTGTTTGTTTTGCTTTTCTGGGGGGGGGGGGCTCTTGATGCCCATGATGACTGAGTAACTGAGCTGAGTACTTACTAATTATGTACGTCGTTAATTGCTGTTAAACTCTTTGGTCTGAATCGTGGTTTGACCACGCCACACATACATGTACAGTGGTTTTGTTGCATTGTCATGCTGAAGATAGAGCAGACAGATGAAAACAATAAAAGGGAAACTTACTTTGGGAACAGATCTTACTTACCCAAATCAGCTCTGCAGAATTGTCGTTGTGGATGTGTCGGCTGACACATACAGCTCAAGACTGACGGAAGAACCAAACCAAGCATGAAGAAAGAAACAAGAAGTACCGTAGATGGGCCCATGATATACTGGTTACTAAAATCAAATCTTATTGGAAACGATTCAGATAACAAGGTTACGTCAAACCAATACTTAGTTGGCGCAGGGATAAATATGGAATCAAGTTGTAGTAGTTGCTCTACAGATCAGTGACTAAAGGTTGCTGTCTACAGCTCTCTTTTAAACATTCGCACCTTGTGCTATTTGATCTAGTTCTGCTAGATCCGGCACTGTTGAAATCCTAAACTCCCCGAATCAAGCCAAGGTTTAGTTTCTGGGAGTGGTTACATTCTTCCACTCAATCTGTTCCCCTCGGGGTGTTTTGGTTCATGTCACATGATTTCATACTTCATAACCTTATCCAAAGGTCTTGCTATGTCGAGTAATGTTACACACTCTTGGGAGACCTTGCTAATGTTACAGAAATTAAAGCAACTTGCCAGTTTCAATGTCAGCAGGAAATAATCAAGAAAATTTAATTAATTTGTAAGAATTGTTTACCTGTAAGTGACAACACTCCTGGTTAATTAAATATCACATTACAAGGTTGAGCCAGTCAAGCATCCAAGGATGGACTGGATGTCATTGTTTTATCTTAATTGTTCATCAGACAGATGGTGGTTTGAGACACAAGGATCTTCTTTGACCTTTAATTATTAGTCCGTGTAGTTGGGATTTCATCACCTACTTGTGTTACCATGGTATGTGGTTTTGAGTCATCTGCATTTTATGTTCCAAAGAATTTATTTTCTTTACTCGGAATCCCGATTTATTATCCAACTTCGATGTTTTTGTTTTCAGGGATCGTTTTTTTTGGTGGAATGGCCTGATATGAGGACTCTTGACATTTTGAAAGGCTGATTCATTTTGAGTATAAAAAGTCAGACCATACTTTTTCAGTGCCATTTTTATTGTGTCTGCCATGACATTTCAAGAATTATATTTTACTCCCATTTGATTGTTTACGTAGTTACGTTTACACTCTTTGAGTCTTTGCTGTAAAAATGCAACTTTAATGTCTTTTCAATTTTGTGGTTCTGCAGTGATCTGCAGAAAAGTCACTCAATCTCCAAATGCCTACACAGTTGTGGTAAAAGAAGATGTTATATATTCACTGTTAAACTGTTCTCAGCAGCTTTTGCCTAGAGATGGCATACTCACTACCACAAGACTAGGGGAAAAATCTGTAAGTGAAAATAATATTGAATTAAATAACGCAAAATTAGGCGTGCTCTGATCAGATGGATAACCAGCCCCTATAAGCCCCTATTTCATCAGGATCTTGTGGTTTGATTCAGAGCTTTTCAGAATCTTGTGGTTTGATTCAGAGCTTTGTGGTTTGTGTGGTTTTGTGGTTTTGTGCCTGGGGGTCAAATAAAGAGACCAAAAACTTCCCTAACTCTGTATTCTTCCAGTTCTTGTTAAGAATGAGAGAGTTACTGATTTTCGTGGAAGTAAAATGTCAAGTGACACTTTTTGGGGCAAGGTTGAACCACTGTAGGCCTAATGATAATTAATTTCAAGTCAAATAATATCAAATATCTTTAAATATCACTAGTTTACAGTAGGCCAAAGTATGTTTACATCATAATACTGTCACCGTCTAGTTATCAAAATATTTAAAATGACTTGGAAGTGTTTGTAACTGAAAGGAAAGATGATTGTCCTCATGTAGCGTCTTAAATCCTTGTGAGATCACCATTTCCAAGTAGACAGGATGTATACTAGCTTGATTCATTCTGCCATTAATCTTTCAAGAGACTTGAGATCTCAATTGATCTCACCAGGTGTCTTTCAAAGTAGGGGATATGGATTCCTAGTATGGTGGATTTTGCCACTCTAAAAGTGGTGATGTCATTTTGAAAACCTTCAGAAACATATTGTAGACTTCAACTTCTTAGAATGTTGGACTCTGTTCTAAAACTTTTCATACAGCCCAAGTATGCCACCCAAGTGTAAAGATTCTGTTTAATTGCAATTGACATGGCTATTCTCTTTTCAATGGAAGCAGTAGTTCTGACTCAGAATCTTTTCTTTTTTTAACTCTGAAAAAGGATTGACAAAGGAAATAATCCTACATGAACACCCTCTATGGATGGATGCAGGGAAGATTAATGGTTTTACTGCGCTCCAAAGGCATGTGGATTTGCATGCAATTTATTTAAAACAAAAATTATTTTTAACTGCTATCAAAGCATTTGTGGACAGCACAGTTTCTTCCAGATTCTCTCTACAAACTGGCCATTGCAATTTAGGATTATTATGTGATTAAGAGAATCATGAATTCTAGGAATTAGGATGAAGAAATTATACAGTGTGAATTTCTTCTATACACCCCTTTGACCTAAAATTCTCAAACAGTACGTAGGGTGCCCTAAAGGTGTTCTTTACTGTCTCTGAATTTGTCTACAGGAGCCATACTATATTGTGAAAATTCTTTATCTCAAGAATGCTTACAAGAGCTGAAATTTTATAGTTAAGAGTCGTCACCAATAACACAAATTTGGTTGGATGGAAGTCCAAGTAATCATACAGTGATTATTGGGAAGGATTGTAGATAATTGTCATCAACAATCTCAAAGCGCTTTACAAATTTATTACCCCGTTCATTAGGCCACGAGACCACGCAGCAGCTGAGCTCAGCGCAGAGGTACCCATTAAAAATAACTCCTGGGTTTAGTAGAGCAATTGTAGTTAAGTGTCTTGCCCACCAAAAGTAAAAACACCATGTTCCTGGCAGGGTTTGTAGCAGGGCCTATAGTGACACATACAATTTTTGTAAAGTGGATTGTGTGTTCAGCATCTATTATCTAAGTATGGTACATAAATCACTTTTGGCTTAAACAAACAATAAAATTTACCTAAAATCAAACTGAGTAAATAAGGATTAAATTTGTTAATAGGCTGCCAATTAAATGATAAAGTTACAGCTTATGAATGGTGTATAATCTTAAAAAGTCTAATAAATACATACAGTGCAAAATAAGCTCTATGAAATGAACTATTCTAATAATTCAATTAATTTAACTGGAAAACATGAATATATAGTTGTTTCATTTAAATCTAGAGTTTGTGAAATTAAACACTGTAGCAATTAGAAAGCAAACTATATGATTCATTTTTTTATTGAGCTCATCAATGCCCTGTGGTATGGTACATGTGAGTTGCACAGTTCCAGGTGATAGTCTGCTGCCCTCTATAGGTGACTGATGATATTTTAAAGTGTGGCTACTCGAGTTGAAATGCAAGATTTTGTGAAACAGAAAACTCATTCAGAAGGGAAACCAATTGTCATGGTAACCTATCCCAATTCAGTTCTTGTTTCTACGACCTTTTCTTTGGCAGTTTTTCATATCAGAGCTTTTCATCCAGTCACATTTGTCTGCCTTCCTTCCCTTGGCATAGCAACGGGAGTGCCTGGCAATGCAATCATTGTCATGGTAACCTATCCCATGTTGGATGTGGTCGTCGTGTGGTGGCAGATAGACACATGTGGTAGAAGGAAGATCACTGGTGCATTCTGGGTTACCACAGGTCATAATCTACAGAGGTCAGATGGATTGTGTTAGAGCATGTACCGGTAAGGGTGGATCCAAGTGTTGTTTGGGTGGCTTACCCCCAACCCAACTGACCAAGTAATAATATTTACAAAATGGGAAATAATCCCAAATGTCTCTAATAATAATAATAAAGGCATTTGTATGGCGCTTTATGTAAAAATACCTCAAAGTGCCTCACAATAAAAAACTATAGAACCTATAGGCAATGAAAATACTTAAAAGAAAATATGAACGTTAGTTAAAGTGCTACAGTGACAAGTACTTAAACACGAAAGCAAACCAAACTGCCAGAAAAAAAACAATTGAAACCTAAAAAACCTTTAAAAAGCCAAATCAAAAGCATTCAAAATATCAATTATTTACAAATACCACATGCACCTTAAGAGTGCTAAAAGTAGAAAACCTCCAATGCAACACAGGGGGAAAATGGCTACAAAAGCAAAAAGGTACCATACAACACATAACGCCAAACCAAAAAAAAGTAAAATGCATAAAAATTCACCACAAGCTCCTCTCAATTGTCTTTATTCAAAAATTCCACACACAGTATATGAGATGATGTAGAGACAACTCTTTCTCCGAAATTGATTGAGGGGTGCTTAATTACAATGCACGGCCACCTGTACTGATAAGGTCTCAAAGTTCTCAAATTGTTCAAAAGCTGTATTCTTACCTGACACATGTCACATAATTGACCGTAGTTATTCTTTAGACCTCTCTTCTGTAGTTTGGAGATATGGCGGTATTCCTGAATCCAGTCACACATATTGATCTGGCCTGCTTCACCCCCTGGTAAAAGAAGAGCCAAACTCAACAATCTGATCAAGTGCAGCCAACAGTCAGCCAACATCTTTTAGAGATGTATTGTCAGTGCTATTTTGAGTTTCAACCCCCCCCCCCCCCACAAATCTTTATTCAATGACACTATCATAGAAGATGGAAATGAAACATGCCAAGACCTTGTTTAAGAACACCGTCGGTCCTGTCAAGTTTACTTTTATTAGGAGGCTTTGATTTTACCGTATGTTGAATGAAACAATCTCAGGAACTATTGGAGCTGAATAATGATATAGCGCCCTCTAGAATTAGGAGGCTAAGTGCAAACTTAGCTTTGTCACATTTATCACTTTGTGTTGGAAACGTCTCATCAGAGCAGGCATGATTTGGTTGTTGGGTGGAAGATGGGGGTCAGGGGGGTTTGGGAGGGGTGAACGGGGCTTTGGGTATCACAGCTTGATATGCTTTGTTTGTTTGGAGTGATTGAAGTTGCACAGGGGTGTTGGCGTGTTTGTTTCTCTTACAAAATTTCGAAGAAAAAAAGAAAGAAAATAGATATTGGCTGTCTTCTAAAAAAAGTACTACCGTATCCTATAAGTATTAATTTCAGAATCACACATCTGTCCTATTAGAAGCCACTGTGGACAAGGTTTCCATGTTAAAGCCTGAATACCTGATTGCAAATTTGGTTACCAGAGAAGAGTGTTAAATATCAGTATGCAATGTGAGACTTGAAAATATTTCTTAGCGTTGTGATTTAAAAAGTAAAAACAGCTCATATTTGAATGTCACAGCCTACCTGCTAGGAGGTAAGATTTGCCTGCTCTGAGTTCCACACCACAGAATCCCATGCCTGGATATGGACTCTTAAGCTCCAGCTCCTCCCCCTCAATCAGTGAATCTCCGCCCACATTCTTATACACAGTCTGGATCGTGATGATATAGATGATCTCATAGTTCCATGGTTCTTGGTTGATGATGCGATTCTTTAGCAGTCGTTTGTCCTTTCTGTTGGCTCTTTGATTGTTGTGTCTGTGAGCTGGCATCGCGTCAATGAATTCTGCAGGTTAAATATTAGATTGGGATTAGATCAGCTTTTTTTTTGGGGGGGGGGAGGGGTGCTCTTGTCTAAAGATTAAGAATTAACCTTGATTGATAGTCAATAAGACTTCAATACTAAATAACTTGGTTTTTTTTATAGTAAAGGACAGTTCTGGTACAGGTATGTAAAATTTTTCATTGGCTGTTTCTATAAATATTGGAAAAACATCGATAAGAAGGGAAGGAATGAGAAAACAATAGAATAAATTAAACAGTTTTGAAAATCTCCTCGAAAACAGACCCCCCTGAAGGATGAAATGGAAAGGTTGCTTTTTTCAAACCCTTATGGATCCTAGTAAAGGTAATATGCAACATTTGCAAACATCAACAAAGTTTGTCAAACAAACTACCAAATTAGTACAAAATGCCTTACTTGACTGTGAAATCCTGTGAAATCGTAGCTCCTGGTGTGCTGTCATTTTCAAATTCAGTTAATTTTTTTCAAAATTAAAACAAAATTTACCAAATTTATTTTGTCCACATTTTGTTTAAAATTGGTTACACATCCGTGAATGGGTGCAAGCAAGCTGATGATTCCCTGACCTGACAATTCCCCTGCATATAAATTGCTCCGTTTCATCTGAAGTAGGGTCAGGGAAACAAACTACAAGAACAGCATTTTTTTCTTGGTTTTTCCAGCATACGAACACAAAACTTTGAAAAGGTCAGTGTAACAACATTTGCTATAAAATACAAACCCCCAAATCCATCCATTTCTGAAAATAACAGCAATGGGAAATGTTGTATATATTACCTTTAAATAATTGGATAATATTCTGAATAAACCCTCTTGTGATACTCAAAAATACTGGTATTCTCAGTAATCCTTGTATGCAAATATGTTACGTTTCCTCCAGGAACAATGTAATTAAAAAATATTATCATACCATTTTGGTCCTGGTCCTGGGATGATGGGAGTGCTGTTGACTTGTCAACCTCTTTGCCTGTTGCTTCAGGCCCCTGTGTGAGGGGATTTGATGTCATGTATGATGTAGGGTTTGTCAGGGTTTCTGTCACTGTAGTTGACTCTGTGTCCAAGTCTGGAATGAGCTGCCATTGTATCAAAACCACTCGACCGCGAATCACTGAGAAAAATGATATCAACAGATATTTGTTTATGTAGTAAAGTAAAATGTTTATAAGGTTAAACGAAGATCTCAATTTCACCAAACAATATGTAACTTAAAGCAACTGTCTTCCATTTTGGGAGATTTGTTGTTTAATACCAACCTTTCCATATGCATAAACTAAGTTGGTTCAGTGATTTTATCAGTTACATGACAAATTAGTTAGAGGACATATTTATTTTATCATTATTTTGAAATTAAGTTATCGTGCAAAAGCATTCAAGTTTGTACATTTAAATAAAATTCAGACTTTCCGATCTGGAGTAGACTGTAACAAGGAAGTGCTGTTACCGTGGAGTGTTACTATGGCAATGGTGAAAGATCATGTAGAATTAATAAACAATCTGAATTCCTTCCAAACAAAGCTGTATAAATCATGCTGTGTATACTCCATGGTTCCCTAAACTTTAAGTGAAGGTGACATGTTTATTTATTGAGTCTGTAATGTTGATAATTGAAATTCTTGTTTTGCTGTGGAAAGGATTAGCCCTACCAAGCGTACTAATGCTTGGATGATTATGCCTATATAAAGAGAAAATTGTTTTTTTAATCTAACAAAATAATTGGTCTTTTCAAAAAGTAAAAGAAAATGTGAACGGTTCTGAAGATTTCTGAAATATGTATCGCCAAAAATAATAAAGAATGAAAAGCCAATTTAAGAAACTACTTTTAGATGAAAAAATTACTGAAATTGCTCAGTCGAATGATCACATTTAAATGCAATGACCCTGAAACCTGTTTTGTCCCAAAAACAAAAAAGCAGTTTATTGTGTATTCTGACTGTTTGGAACAATAAAGAAAATGACACAGAATACTTGTTTCAACAACTGTCATTTATTGTACTACAAATATCTTTATCAACAAACCTGGTTAGGCAAACAATGTGATTTATAAAATCCACTTTTTGAAAAAAAGACGGATCTTCAAAAGAACTTTGTTGAATATTTTTAACTTTTAGACTTTTAGATATTTGAAGACAATTGTGACAACCATTCTTGATATCGCATTTTTGAAGGAATGAGGTTCGAAGGTTATATTGTGTTTAAATGGTGATATTCTTTGAACGCATTGAACAATTTTAGTAATAGCTTATGAAATTGTCTTTCCAGTCATTATTTTTTTTGGTGCTGCCTATTTTTTTAAATATGGGTTTGGATTCTACTTTTTTTGACTCACCATGTTTATTGAAAATGATGGATGGGGAATAGACACATAATGCAGACCGTCCTGTACATGAAAAACTAAATCACTAGTTAGCGATGTGGTACTTGATTCTACAGATTTTACAATGAAAACTTAGTCAATTAGTCCTTACCATAGTTTGCTGTACAGAAGTGTTGCTGTGGATGAATTCGTGTGCAGTTACAACTCGCTGTACTCTCCACAGTTTGGAAGGATGCAATAGTTGCAGCTACTGCCAGTATCTTGATTCCAGCGGCAATGTTACACATCTTGACATTGGCTCCAGGTTGTTCCTCAGATGTCTTCTCTGGTGATATCTGGTGTCACTTTTGTAACTTTTCCCTTTTTGGTTTCTTTTTGTGTTTTATTGATAAGCAGAAAATGGAAACATTGAATTTTTCACTTTTTATTCAGTCGTGAAACAGCTTTAGTTTGGAAAGAAGCAGTTTCACATGAGTTCAGTACATTTCACAGGACAGTTTGGTTTGACACTTGTCAGCTTAAAGTGTCTGATGATCTAGATCTTAATTTCACAGATTTTTGTTTTTTTGAAGAATGGTGGAATTTTGACTTGAATTTAAATGAGGATGATTTGGTGTGCGTTGAGCACTGTCTGTCCACTGCAGGATGTACATGTACCATTCCAAGGTATGGTGTCCTGTCCAACTTGTTGCTTAATCTGATATAATACTAGACTCAGGAAGCTACAGGTAGATTGCCATTCTCATGACAGTTACATCGACTGGTGTTACTCCCTGTGGGATTGGTTGCCATAGAGATTGTACTAATTCTGTGCTCATGTGGTGGATCACAGTGTTTATGTGACCTAAGGTCAAGTGCACTGAATTCAATCATGAACACCTTAAGACAAGGCCCCAAAAAGTGTTGACTAGAATAGTAAATGTTGACGCGCTAAGCAAAAAATGTGGGATGTACAATCACTGGAAAGTTATACATCAGATACAGGGAGTGGACCATGCTAATTTACTTGCACTTATAGTCACCCCATGAATTCAGCCAAAGATGTTAACATTTTTTTCATCAATCCCACATACATTTTAATATCTTTTTATTTATTTTTTTTACTCTTCAACATAAGTTATTATAAGCACTGCATGCTCAGTGCTGTCCAAGAGTTTGCAGGAAGTCACAGTTTGCTCGGTGGGATTCAAACTCAAGATGTCCTGCTTATTAGCACAGATGTCTTACAACTCTACCCCTCAGCTTAATTGCTGGGGTTTTGTTGAGTCAGTTAAATATGGTAAAGCAAAGGAGGCCTCAATCAATTTTTCTTGATGTATTGCACAATAAGTTTCTGTATGAAAACTTTCTGCAATTGAAATTGGTGATGAAGCTGGTGAACTCAAAATAAAGAACCTCCAGGAAATCCTGTCAATAGCTCCATGGTTTTATGTAATAAATAAAGATGCTTGTAGCAGATAAATTTTGTCTTTTGCTCAATCCCACTCCATATGTGTTTTAACCAATTCCAATAAAATTTCCACCGTTTAAAAAAAACCTAGATTGTGTTAATCTACAATTTAAACATAACTTGATTCTAAACCAGTTCCTGAATTTGTGTTGGGAAAAAAATTAGAGATAAAAGAAGAACACATGTGGACAAGTTTGACAGACTTTGAACCAACTTTTGACCGTACACGTTGAAAGCTGACAACGAAATCTGGAAATTGGCTACCATTTATCTCTGTCCAATTTCCTCCGGTTTCGATTTGTGTTGCCCTGGAGTGTGGTACCGGTAGGCTTGTGATTCACATGTCTTTCCACTTCAGACACCAAATTTTAACATCAGTAGGCTGTAGAGGGCAGACTTTAGTTCTTGCACAGACCCATTGGATGGTTATTGTCTCTTTTAGCTTTTTAATCTCGTTTGAAAAAATTTAGAGAATAATACTATAAGCGTTAACTTATGTAAAATGGTTTAGAAGAACTTTAGACTTTTTTTTTTAGGGGTGAGGGTGGGTGGGTTTTTTTTTAAAATTTTGACAGTTTTTTCTTTGGTTTCTTTCAAAATTTGGATATATTTGCTCAGTTTGTTAGTTATACAATTATGTTAATCCCCAAAAAGTCAGTTAGGATGAATATTCCCTGATGGCTGCTGTATGAAAATCGAATACGTTTATTAGTAAGAGTTCATCCCTCCTGCATATAGGCCCATTGCTGATTATGCAGCTTGCCAGATATAAAGTTCCTAAATAACCTTCTAATTTGAGCATTCAACCTCAAATTGCATTAAGCTTAGATTACAATTTAGCAATCAGCTTTATTGAACAACCAACCTCAGACCAGCTTTCCAAATTCAGCTGAAGATCCAGGTTGAAAAGTGGAAACGTACTGGGATATATGACCCTTATTTCTGTATATACTTGAACTTTTTAAATTTGACAGAAATCACACCATGCAAATTGGTTACAAAGATCACTTTATTTAATCTTATCATTCACGGATTTGACTACTATATATTTTGAGTTGAGTCACTTGACATTTATAATACCAGATTTATTTTTGACAGAGAGTTCCCCAACTCCGATAAGCCTCGTTTGTGGTTTTCTTATCAACTTAATGTGGTACTAAGTCGTATCTTGTCTGCAGGAATAGTAACTGATTATTCTGATTTTGGTCCATATATGACTTAACAAACTTTGGTGACTTTTTAAACTTTCTCAACTTTATGACGCTGATCTTAGTTTTGAATATTACAGAATTTCCACAATCGAATTTTCAATAATTTATACAATTGAAGAAAAAAAACAATGCTAAGAAAATGTTTCTCTTTCTAAAATTTTGATTGAGCTTGGGGGTTTTAAAGATATAGGGGTCGAGAAACTACTTTTTCTATCGTGAACCGATTGGTGATGAAAGAGTCTTACAAGTTTACAGCATAATTATCTGTGAATAAATACACGATTTATGGGTGACATTTTTGACGAATATCAAATATTATATTTGTACCTATTTCCAAAGTTATAGCACAACTGTTGAAAGATTTCTGCTGGTTCTTTCAGAAAGGCATGACTTACATGTAGATGTCGTCTCATAGTCTTGGTTTCTAGACTTGTTTTGATTTTTGTTCCTCTTATACAGCTGGTCCTGATGCCTGATTGGCTGTTTTGGCAATGTGACGAAACAGCCAATTAGTGCACCCACTTGTGTGTGATAACTCATCTGCGACAGGTTCATTTATCTAGATGCATACTAATAAACAAAAAAGTTAATTGATTAGGCCACCCATGAGATGTACATGTATGCATACAAGGCCTTGGCATTGACAATCTGGATGAACAAATATAGGTGAAGGTTAATGGTCTTCTCATCAGGGCTAGAGAACTGGGTCAGAAAGAAGTACAATGTGCATACTATATAGATATGGAAATATATGTTCATTGACTGCAGATAGGAATTAGAGAGGAACATAAAAATAATTCCAATGCTCTAACAAGTATTTACAGTTTCTCTTGATATAAATAAGTCAACAGCATGTTGTGACAAATACAAAAGATGATTGTTAGGTCTTTTTTTGGCGAGGGGGGGGGGCGCGATTGGTAAATTAATGTAAATTAAATATTGGATTTTGCCCTTCAAAAAAGAATTTCATCAAACAGAAAGTGATTGGATTTGAACAATCCAGCTGCCCCAGTGAGCTCTGTAGCAAAGTGGTAAGACATGCAGGAGGTTGTGGGTTCGAGTCCCACCTAAGTAAGCTTCTGAATTGTTTTTCTCTAATTTACATAATTTCATTAAAACTGTGAGTATTCAATGTTAATGAAATTAAGCCAACAGACCCCAATTGATAATTCTTGGAATTTCACTGTTATGTATAAAAATAATCTGCTGTTTTAACTTTCTAAATTAAAGTAATTGTTTGCATACTTGTTTAAAAACAACGGTTAAGAAGAAGAGTTTAAATTTGTGTGCCATACTTAGTCACTTCATGAAGCAGTTAAGGACTACCGGTACATGTAGAATTTCTTTTACATTGTTTGATTAAATGACTTATAATTTAAAACAGGTTCAAATTACCTTAGGATGATCCAAAAGATTTCGACATATGCATTTCAACTCTGAACTATAACTTAAAGGCAAGTTGTGGTTGGTTAAAATTATCCTTTCCCAATTTTTTTTTTTTGGCAAGTCATACTATGATTTTGTCCTCTGCTCCCTGTAATGGTTTGTAATCTTTTCCAAGATTCCTTTGGCTTCCTGACTGTCAACAGGTGGATAAGGGAATGCATCTGCCATGTCAGAGATAGAGGAAGGATTCTTGGAATCAAAAGGGTTTCTACTAAACTCATCCTCATGTACTGCCATTGGATCATCCCCTGATAAAGGAAAATGAGGCTTAAAAAAGTCTGAATCATAATCTTTACTGTCTGAACTTTCACTTGGCTGAGGATTCATTGTAGTTGAAAACAATGTCACCTTTGATTTATTTGGTTTACTTGTTGGTTGGATTGTAATTTGTTTATTTGTGTAGTTACTGAATGGTACAGAAGAATTCTTAGAAGATTCTGTAATTTCTTCAAACTGTAATGATAAATTTGTCTTGAGATCAACTGGCATAGCATTTGATGTGTTAAAGTCTCCAGTGTCAGGGTTGGGCTGTTGTTCATCTTGATGAGGTGACAAAATTGATGTTGCCATTTGTGTATCCTCATCTCTTTGCTTCTGGAGATGTTGTTGTGTAATCTTGTCTAAGATATCTGATGCTTCCTGGCCTGCTACTGGTGGTGGAGGTAAGCCCATGGCATGATGCGGCATGTGAACATGATGAGAACTGAAGAAAGGGTTGGTATCTCTTGAACCTTGGTCAGACATGGAGGGATCTTGGTGTTCATGTGGCAAATCTTTTTGTTTTACCTGGTCAGTGAAGATTGGAGCAGTTCCTTGTTTGGTGATATCTTGATCAGAAGTGGAGGATAGATCTACAGCAGGAGGATCTTGGTTGACACCTGGCAATGCATCTGTAGAGATTGGAGTAGGTTCTTGTTTCATATCATCTTCATCTGAGATATTCAGTTTCTTGTCAGCAGGCAGCGCAGGAAGTGTGTCAGTTGTTCGTTTTCTCTTTTGTTCCTTCTTTGGCATGATTTGAGAGGAACTGAGGTCAGGGGATGTTTGTTTGTTTGAAGATGCTTTATCATCTTTGCCGGTTCTCTTAGAACTTGGAGTTGAGATGACTGTTTGTGTACATGGAAGATTAAGATTTGGTGATGGATAGTTGAAGGATTTCTTTCTCATGCTATCACACTCTCTCATCTTTTGATGTGTAGACCAGGAGCATGTGCCTTGCGAAGTTTTCTGACATGCAGAGTATAACCCTTCACAATCCTGCAATCCTCTGTCAGTGTAGAAGCTGGGGTTGTAGACACATTGTGTGCAATCTGCTGGGGATGGCTGGAGGGTCAGTGACTCGCGTGCTTGTTGGGCCGTCTTGATCTGTTGCAGGAATAAAGGATTATGAAGTTAAAAATTACCGATAATGAAGAGTAACAATTTAAAGTGTATCACTATCCTCAGTACAGTAGAAGAAAAAAAAAAAAAACGAAGGAGTACCACTCCCATTTGAATCACATAGAGACAGATACCGGTAAAAAAAAAGAGTCACAAAAATAGATTCGGTGCAAGGATGTGATTAAAAAAAAAAAAGATTTGAAAAATGATGTTAGAACTGAAATGTTCACTACATGTTAAAATTGAAGCTTTACCCAAAGGCCGTATATAGGTCACTGAAGAGGTAATTGATGTTCCTGGCTTTTTTACCGTTTCCTTTCTGATAAGTCATGAATTTCCCTTTTACTTATAGCATTTTCCTCTGAGTGAGAATTTATGAGGGCAGTTCTGTAAAACTTTGATTTGGCAAGGTTGAGGTACCATGAAACGAATATGCAAGGAGGCAAACCTGTTTCCTTCCCTTGTCCAGCCCCTCATCACTTCCCTTAAAGTAATCCCAGTGCTGCAGGACTAGTATTCAACTTGCTTCGGTGTAGAGTTCAACCACTAAATGTAATTTAGTCAGATTATCATGTATGCCTTTATACTGCATTGACAATGTTTTTTGGATATTCAATCCTTTCTATTTTTTTTCAAAAGTCCAACAACGGAGTGAACACGTAAGCAGATGTAAATCAGTATGGTAGAGTACTTGGCCAACAAAATGGAAACAGGTTGATATCACATTAATGTTCTACGATAAGTCACACTCATTCTTCATGAGTGGGTCCATGGTTCCAACAGTCAGACACGTTTTGATTGTTTTATCAGGAAGATTAGTCTAGTCCTTGCTCTTTGAAAATGCACTTTGAAATATTTGCAATGACAAAGACGTGATGTTACATGTAATTAAATTCAGATAGTTTTTCATGAGGACTTTAAATGTTGAACAAAGCCTGTATTGGAGAAGATCCTTGCTGTTCAGTCTCAGTTTTGATGTTCGGTCTCAGTTTTGTTGTTGTTCAGTCTCAGTTTTTGATTAAGTAGGAGATGCAATTTAATGGAAATAGAGTTGAAAACCCTAGAAAGCAATATGTCTGGTTTAAATCTCAAAAGAGAACATAGAATTGGAAAAAGGATTCATAAAGTTGTCTAAAGGGATGCACATAACGGTCTGGGTAGACATTTAGCACATGTTTTTGGAGAGGGAAAGATGTCATTAGCACATTCTGCATTAAATAATGAGACGATGAAATGATCCTTACATTGCATGTGTTACAGTGTCTTGAATACACACGTCTGAGTTGCTGCTGTAAAGTGGCTGTCATCTGATGACAAGAGATTCTCCAGTCACATTGATGATGAAAAAAGTCACCTCCAGAAATAGTCCCTGTAACAAAATAATCAACATTAGTCTTGCATTACTGCATCCCAAGCCTGTTGAATTTATCCAGTTAAATATTGTAACGAAGACATTTTTAAGATATGAATCCATGAAACATCTACCGTCTGACTGCCTCATTTTCTTGCTATCAAGATGAAATAAGTCAATCTTATCATCTTTGAACGTTAAATGTCAAGGTATGATGAGAGAGCTCAGTTAGAAAAATGTGTATTTTAGGAAGTTTTTTTTACCATTAATCTAATGAATTTAGAAAACTGTTACAGGTGCATGAAGTCTGCAAATATAAACTGATGTCACGGGAGAATTGTCTGAGACCCTCAGAGGGAAGAATTGAAAAAAGTGGCTCTAGTTACATCTATGCTCTTTCAGATAATTCAACTGTACACGTTTTAAGAATTGCAAACCATTTTACTTTTGTTTGCTTTCTTCTTGTTCAGAAACTTATCTTGCTTCATCTTTTCCTATCAAGAGTTTTGTGTTTGTGGTGTCAATCCGCAAGACCACCAAACGTTGCAAATGTCAAGGGTAGATATTTCACCTAGATTTTACATTGTTTGTGTTTTCAATTATTCCTACAATTGATAAAATGTGTGACCTTTTATCAATCTGTAATCTCTTGATTAGCCTAAAAAAATTCCAATCTTCCACCCTCCCTGAAAACAATTAACATTTCCCCAGGGAGTTCTACATAACCTAAAAACATGTTGATTGTAAATACATAACCCTGGATACAGATATTGCAGAAATCACTTTTGTAGATCAGTGGACTGAGTGGAATAAACTTAGCAAGCTATAATAAGCTGAAGCTGAGTGCTAATTGACTGGGTTGAACAGCTTTTATATTAACTTACACTCCACATCTGACTAATTCATGAAGGAGATAAAGTGAACAGCAAATCAGTTAAGTTGGATTGAATTTCGAAAAGAACATTTGAAAGTAATAACAAAAATTGAATCATGCAGTGAAACCTACTACACTGTTCTCATATTAGTATTATGGGCATCTTTTCAACAGCCTCACTTGCAATGTGCATTGATTGATAACATTGTAATAGTGAATGTTATTTATAATTTCTTAGTGTTTAATTTTTTTTGCATTGCTACGTACCACTGAGTATATATTCCTCATTTAGTTGGAGACATTTCCCTTGACGGGATGGTTTCTCTGACACAGAATGAATGATAACAGTATTACCAGCAGCCATCGACAGTGATCCTTTGTAAATCTTGTTGATTTTCACTCTGTATTTGATGATGTGGCCAAGTGTTTTGTGTTCTTCTGTCATGTCTTCATCCGATGATGCAACTGCTGGCATCTGTTGCCTAGGTGATATATTTTCGTCAGGAGTTACTACCAAGGATGCTTCTTGTTTTGGTGTTCCATTTGTTGTGAGGAGATCTCTAGCTGGAGCTGCATTCATTTCCATGGTGCTTGTTGCTATAGTAGTTGATGCTGCAATAGCTGTTGCTGCTATGACAACAGATGCCGCTGCTGCTGTTGCTGCTACTTCCTTTTCTACTGTGGGATCTTTCTCTGGTACATTTATATTTTCTTTGCTCAAAACCTTACCCAGGATAACTGGAAATAAAACCAAAACAATTCTGTGAGTTTATACATTCAATTCACGATAGATTTAGATATCTCTGGTTATGTACATGTAAATATTTGGATACGTTTTGTCATGTTTGATTCAGTTTGGCAGTATATTACTGCTGGATTCACAATGTAAGTGTAGAAAACTCAGATTTTTTTAAGCCCTCAAATTAATTTCGCCTTTGAAAACATAAAGTTTTGGAATTCAAAATTTGTTGGAATCAATCTGAAATTTCTACAAAATTTCAACAAAATCTGTGGCACTACAAAATAGCATTAGATGCAAGTAACAGTTCAATTTATGTTAAATTCCTTGGAAAAAAAGCACAGTACCATAGAATAAGAAACAAAGAATACGCTATTATTAAGTTTTAAACACTTACCAAAGTCTGAGTGGCAGAAATGTTGTTGTGGGTGTCGTGGTGTGCAACTTTGCCATGTTGTTAGTTCCTCAATGTGACCAAGGCAAACCCTTGCAAGGAACATAAACAGCAGAACTACTCCTGGAGATCCTTGCATTTTCATTGTTCCTTGTGCCGTGGTCCCGTCTGACTTCTAAGCGATTCCCTTGTGAAGTGACTGAAGTTTCCTGAAGATCTACCACTGCTGTCAAAAACTTTATCTTGGGCAAATATGTATGTAAGATAGACCGCACTTGACATATGGAAGTTGAACACCTGATTCAAGCATTCCGAAATTCCATTGTTCTTTCTCGTTACCAGCTTTATCTTTTGTACTGGGGTGGGGTACCCCAGAATTAAGTTGGAACTTATTATTCTAATTATTTATTAATCAAAGAGATTTGCCCTTCTAAAGAGTCAAAGTGAGCAGGTGTTTGAATAGGATTTGAGTTTTAGAAGCATCGATGGACTTTATTCTTTAACTGATAGAGCTGCGAAGTTGACGAGTTCAGGTTCTTGATGGTTTGGCCAACAATGGAAAGAGATATTACTTGTGACGTACAAGTGTGTGAAATCCAAATATGAAGAGCTGTTGACTGTTGCTATTTGTTCTTTCAAAACGTACTGTAATCAGTCCTTTACATGCAAATTATGATCCAGGTGTGTGCAACACGTGTACCGGTACAAGGATATTGTAGACTCTATTCTGCACAAATAAGCAAGTACATGTATTCAATTCACAGACGCTGAGTAAGTCTATTGATAAAACTGTTCAAAAACTGTTTTACTAGGCCTTTTGTACAGATCTGATGTTGAAGAAGTTGGCATAGATACCAGTTCTACACTTGCAGTACCCGAATACCATGACTCTATAGTGGTCTGAATGTCATCACTTGCTGGCAACTTGCACTCACTCAATGTTAGCCTCACGTTCTTTAGAATTCATCCAGTTTGAATTGCATATCCTGCATTTTAGCCCCCTAGGGGCCGATGTATTGAACTAACATACCAGTACATTGGGTGTTTTTGTTTGTTAGATATTTTCCAAGAAAGTCTTACTGCTGTATCCTGGTGTGTAATCTAAACGTTCAAGGGATTTTCCCTATTTCTTCCAATTAAACCTTATTTCTGACACTTTTCCAAGATTTTTTGTTGTTGAAATTCTAGCTTAGAAATTGTGTACAGATTTGTAGTGAGTATTTGTTTCATATTTTATTTGGTTTGTTTAGTTATTGTCTTGAGTTTTAGCTTCTTTTTAAGTTTTACATTGTAGCTTTGTCTAACTCTAAGGTGTGACTTAAGGATATCAGGTGGATTTCCTAACAAAAGTAATGCGAAATTATTTTCGTGTTTTTTTAAACAAAAGAACTGTTGTGTAAAGTATAGTGATTTATGACAACAATGTTTCTGGCCAACCCAAAAAGGGGTTGGGGGGGGGGTGGGGCTAGTTTTTTGTTTGGCAAAACATCAGCTAAGCATTTTAGGGCCTTTTGGTTGAGTATATCATTTCAGAATTTTTTTCTTGTTTTTTAATTATCTCTTTAACAAGTTATCAGTTTTTGTGATTTAGATTGTTTGTTATAGTCATTGCAAATTGCATGAGTAGTGGAATTTGTTTTTTTGGTGGCAATATTCCACATCAACTGTATCAATCCTTGAACGTATCCCAAGAGAGCTAGAGAGAGAGGGAGGACGGTCATTCCTGAAAGGCTTAGTCAAAGGTCGAAACTTCAGAGGAAAATGATTTTGTTGATTTGTTACATTGATAAGAATGTTTCATGATGAAATGATCAGGTCAGCCTTCATCTAAAGGAAGATATCCGTACAATGTTATTTAATATAATTTGGGTGTTATTTAATATAATTAGGTGTTATTTAATATAATTTGATATATTCCTCGTCTCATACAGTTTTATTACTGAAGGATTGCTGTAACAGCGCCCTCTGTTGCTAGTGCTAAATAAAAGCAAAGTTTTGTTTATGTTATGTCAGTAAAACTGATGTCGGGTGAATCATGTATTTCAAGGAGCATCATTTTAACTTATCTGGAAAAGGGGGAATTCAACGATGACTTGTTCAGAATGTTTGAACTTCAGATAAGGTTATTGTCTCGAACCAAGAAGACAAAAGTTCAAAGTTGCATAGAACAGTGCCCAGTTAATGCAAAGAGCCCATATTGAACAAATTAACAACAGCAGATGATGATTAGTAAGTGATTAAGTGTTTTCCTATGAATTAAGATTAATATAATGTTTGAATTTGTGCAGCTGTTAGTGATATCAGCGTTTAGACCGTGGTACTGTATTTTCTGCCATGTAATGTCTGAGTGTGAGCACACACTCCAGCTTCCTTCCACGTCTAATTCTGAGCCTTCCTGATTTTTTGCTCTGGTTTCCGCCCTTCCCTTAGGCTGTGTGTTCATTGCAAGGTGATTGCAACTGCTTACATCCTTTGTGCACTCTCCTCGTTTGTAGACATTATTGGTAAATGATTTACTTGGAGTCATGCCACATGTAGTGATGTACCTTGTCCCTAAAAATGGCCAACAAAAGATATAATGTGCCGTGATTGTATGCAAAGCAAAATGATAGCCCTACTACCTTCTCCCCATCTCTTACAGTGAAATTGACGATACTCTCTGATTTCCAAAGATTGCAACAAGGGACCAAAAGAGTTACAGTGAAAATCACATGGGAAATTTATTTTAGATTTAAATACTTTGAAACTCCAGTGTAAACTTGACTTAAAAGATGATGAATTTGATTTAATGAATTTCATTTTAAATTGTTTTGTCCATATAGTTTCAGTGAATTTCACGCGAATTGAATGAATTTTGAAGTAAGAGAAAAGTTTCATGCTTGGGTACACATTGCCCCCCCCCCCCTTTCGTCACATTTTGAGTGTTTCTACTCACTCATCATTCACTTTTGAACCCTGTGCTACAGCAAAGTGCCTGTTGGCCCCCTCCCTTCCACATAAACTTTTTCAGAGTGGTTATACTGTTGCTGGGCTTATGTTAATTTTAACTCCAGACACACACAAGATAACCTGCGCCCCATTGCACACAAATTGACGCCTGTCCAGACAAATTTTACCCTACATAACAAAACAAACTCGCAAACCAGCAACCCACTTCCCCTTAATGCCTGATCTTTTACAATGGGTCATTCAGACAGGGGGCCTTCTGCGGAGATAGCTAGCTAGCCCCACCCAAAGTAGTTGTTGTTGGAATGCAAAAATGGTTGGGACACTTCCTTAGCCTCCCATGATCACCCACTCCCCCTGCTCCTCATGGTCAATGTTGTTCTCTCAAGCTTTTGGAGCACACACCGCGCAATGAAATACAACATTGAGTGGGGGTCGGGGTTGGGGGGGGGGGGGGGAGGCAGCGAGAATTGGCCAGGATTGTAGCTCCGGACTGGAGTTATCCCGAATTCTAGCCCGGAAAAATTGTGGGGCTAGCTCCACTTGCAGCTCAGCGGGGCTTCTTTTTACAACCTAACTCCCACACAACTGACCTATCATGCTGCCCATAGGTTGAGTGTTAGAGTCAGATGGAGTATAGGGGCCTCGCAACCATGGATGTTTTTCAAACAGACTTAGCCTTGTCTATCAGACTAGCTCTCCGCCCTCCGTATGAACATACCCTTAATGTAGCTGGTCTGTTCTCAGAAGTATGTGTTTGTCACTTGGGAAATTGTGCAAAAAGGGATGTTAAGTCAGACTGCTGAAAGGTGTCAGAGTAAATACAAACAACTGGAGCTACAAGCTGTGCCTTGGAGAAAAAAAATAAGGTTGTCAACAGAGGGCTCACTGGTTCATAAGTAGAGGCACAATATAATTGTAGTTACTAATAATAAAATAACAATAGCAGGTTCTTATATAGGGCTTTTAACTAAGATCAAAGCGTGTTACATTATTATTACTCCTTTATATTATTATTACTTTCTTCACTTAAAATTGTTTTTTTTTTTTAAGTATTTGTTAATACCCTGAGAAGTTTCAACTTGAGCTATCCCATAGATTTGAAGCACTCCAGAATGACATCACTTCAACAATTTCTGACCAGTATGACAGCTTCGAAACCACTCAGTGTAATTGTAAAGGAGGTGGTTGAGAACGTGGTTGGGAAATACGTGGAATGCCAAGCTGGGTGTCAGATAAGGCCATGAAACTTAAAGATGACAGGGATGAGGCCAAAAAGAGGTACTCAATATAAAAATCACAAAAATCCGGGGAGGAATGGAGAAAACTCAATACCTGTCTCAGTAAATCATAAGGATGATACTGCCTCACTCAACAAAAAGATTGATGATCTTTTAAAAACTAGCTGATGAATTGAGAGACTACACCACAACGTGGAAAATTATCCATGACCTCTCGCAGAAGGACAAGAGAAACAGTGTCAAAGTCAAAAAGAGATGGAACAGTCCTTGCTAGTGACACAGAACTGCTTTCAGAGTGGAGCAAATATTTCAGCTCCTTACTCAACAATGAAAATGGCCCACCTAACTGAGCTTCCTCCACCTGATGTAAAGGACTTGCCCATCACACTGTCGTTTCACGGTATGAGACAGCCAAAGCCATTAAAGCTATTGCGGAACCAACAAGGCAGTGGGTCTAGATGTCATCCATGGTTTCTGAGGTGTATACAACATAATCACCACATCAGTGTACCACAAATGTCATCGTACCTGTGCCCAAGAAAAGGGATCTAACTACCGCGGGATCACTCTCACATTAGTAGCTGCAAAAGCTTTCATCAAAATTCTGCTCAACAGAATTTGCCCCTCCGTTGATCCAATACTGAGGAGCAACCAAGCTGGCTTCCATCCGGGACACATTTGTGCTCAGCAGATTCATGTCCTTCGTATAGGGTAGTGGAAGGTTTTAAAACCACCAACTTCCTCTTGCTGTTACTTTTATTGACTTCAGGAAAGCCTTTGATTCTGTCAACAGAGTCATGTTTTATATATTACACCACTATGGCATACCCGAAGCAGTGGTCAGCACCATTCAAGCCATGTATGTTAACTCTCGAAGTGCTGTCATGGTGGGTGGAAGTATCTCTGAGCCTTTTGATGTGTCCACTGGAGTTCTGAAAGGGGATGTACTTGCTCCTTTTGTGTTCATCATAGTTGTCGAAACCGACCTCAAAAGATGCAAGGCACTGGCCTGGATGACTTTTTGGAAGCTGGAACAGCTGTGGAGAAGCCCCTCTTTACCAATTACCACCAAAATGAGGTTGTTCAACACAACATGTGTAACAGTTCTCATCTATGGATGTGAGGCATGGGTCATCTCCAAAGACACAGAAAACAAACAAACAAAGGCTTTTGCCACTTCTAGCTAGCGCATTATGCTGAGCATCAAACGAACCGACCATGTTCCCAATGCCACCATCTACACTATGACCAACTCAAACCCACTTGTGGAGTGTGTCTGGGCAGCTCAAGTTCCTTGGGCACATACTCCGCATGTCCGACGATCAACCCACAAAATTATATGCCCTCTATACACCACCCTATGGAAAAAAAGAGACCAGGAAGACAACGCACATCATTTCTAACGTATGTTCAACGCCTGCTTGGAGATAGTGATGGCATGCTGCAACCAGACCAAATCGCAACACTTGCCCAAGATTGCAGTAAATGGAAGAAGCTTATAGTCGCCTGCTCCGCAGCCGAAGGATGATGATGATGAATACCCTGTACATCATACCATGTGGCTCAAGGGACCAGGTACCGGTACGTGATACATGCTATGATACACTGGAATCTGTACGTGATTTGATTAACCAATTTACTTTGAATCATGTGAGTTTGTATGGAACTCCCTTCTGGATATTTTAGTCAGATAATTTCACCTTTTAGTACTTACAATGAACATGGAAAGAAGGGGATCAGTGAATAAACTTTCTGGCCTGTACTGCCTCAAATCGTAAATGACATTGATTCTAATCTCAATTGTATTTTTTATTTATAATAATATTTTGTTAGTAGATGCATGGTAGCCGCAGAAGGGGAAAACAGCAGAAAATGTGGGCAGACAACATCAAGGTTGGGACTGGTCTTAACTGGGCACAACTTCTTAGAACAGCAGAAAACAAATGGAGGAATTGTGGGAGGAATTGTGTGACTAATGCCATCATAACGTCGCCCCTACGGCCGTAATACTATGGGACAGAAGGAAGGAGTAGTTTGGTCTTGATATATTTTTTGTTTAAATTCAGCTAAATGTCATGTTTAGTCTCAAATAAGAAGTAAAGGAGGAAGTACTTTCAGGAGATGTGGAGATCTGTAACTCGTCACTCAGCACAATCATTTGTCTCCCCCCCCCCATAAAAAAATATGATGACTTGAGACCAGTGTAAACCATCTGGATGAATGTCCTGATATGAGAATGAATGTTCTGATGTAACCAGGGGTCCTTGCAATTGCATAAAGATGGTCAACAAGAGTTAATCCATCCTTCAGAACAGGTTGGAATTAAACTGAGAATCGCTTAATGAAACCAGTCCCTAATCGTTGGACCATCTGTAAGAAGATTGCTCTCTTATTGTTATCTTAGCGTGCAATTGCATTCCTTTTTCAGTCACTTGTAAGCGCAACATTGCTACTTCAAAGGAAAAATGTAATAATATCACTCTTGGCAATGAGATAGCCATCTGTTCTGGACTAAACTGCTTGTTCTTAAGTGGCAATGTTATACATTATGGTTTCTGTTGGTTGTTGGATTAAAATGAAATAAGCAGCATGGGTGAATGAGGGAACCTGTCTCAAGCAATAAGTCAATGGTTTATTTCCTTAACGTGATTGAAGTTATCCCACTACTAAATCTCAAACTGGAACTAATTTTTGAATATTTTAGTCATTGCTCCTCTCCCATGATCATTACTCAAGTTCAACCTGTCTGATATGGAAGGCACCTGATTCGTTGTCTGATTTGTCACGTTTATGCCTACATTGTACAAGCCCCCTGTTTACATTTCCAAACTCCCATCTCTCCAGCCTTGCGGTCGTCCTTCAAACAATAGTAATTCTTTGGGAAACATAGGAGAATCACAGGATGCCATTATTCTGTTTTCATCCTTACAATGGATTTCAGAATGAAATAAAATTTATTAAATAGTCCAACAAGATCTCACACCGTGAAAGTGATGAGTGAATGGGTAATGATTACCCTATTTACCGTATATACTCTCGGACCGTCCTGGACAGAGCAGGAAAAAGTTTGACGATGTACATAACATAATATAAAACATAAGCATCACAGCGCATCGATATCATGGACGGAGGAAACAATTTTTTTTCTAGTTTATTTTAGACTAATTTGTTTCTCTATTTCTGTATTCTTTTTTTCTCTGTGTCTATATGTTTCCATTTAGCCAACCACAGGGAAGCTTTTTATTTAAAGAGAAATTTCCCTAGATCCCTGTTAGCCAAGCTAGAGGCGTTCCTGGGCCTCCTGATTGGTGAAGATTGATTTTTTCATTTTATTGTTGCTATGGTCGTGATATCATATATTGCACCATACAGGTTGGGTCGTTGGAAGCTGTAGACATACCCCAGTTGAATAATCTGAAAGACGTCCTCCAAAAACTGAATTTTAACTGAAATTCACAACCTTGTTTATATTATCTAAGCCATATTTGGTTCTGTATTACTGCATTGTACAGATGGTTTTCCCGTCGGTAACCGTTTCAAATGTTCCATCATTTTGACTTTGCATGAGATGTTCCCTTGCTCGTCTTGTTGCTTCTGATTACAGATCCTACATGCACCATAAAAGCTATTACACTAGTCTAGGAATAATGTCAATAGATGTGCGAGACCTGCAGTATATCTTGAGGAAGGATCTTCTTAGTATGCACTTGTCTGCATTTCAGGAGCATTTACAGTCAGTCTTCCTCAAATACCTACATGAATGCTGCCCCCAATGTGGTTATCAGATTGTAATTATCAGATTTGTTTTGGTATAGATATAATTCAATGTACCACCCCGTGTAGGTGCTAATGCCATGAGTTGTTAATGCTGGGGAAAACTCCATCTACAATCACCTTTATCGACAGATGAACAATTTCAAAATTAATTGAAAATATTTAAAAAAAAAATTGTTTACCACTCTAGTTGTACCCAAAATTGAATGGAAGTGCTCTTGACTTATCATCTAATATAAAAAGAAAGATAGAGAGCCTGATGTTTCAATCGTAGCAGGATTTTTCTCAAAGGTGGAAGTGAGAGTTTACTAAAGCCACACCCAACTAAACCTACATAGAGGTAGATGTCATGGTCACAGGAAAGCAACACACTACAACTCTTCCCCTTGAACTCTGAATTTTGCTCAATCTCAAGACTGTCACTCTGTTAATCCATTGACGTTGTACGTAAATTTCCTTTTCCAAAACCTCTGCAATTTTTTAAGCTTAAAATATATGAATTGAATATTCTTGTTTAATTTAAAGTTTGAAGAATGATAAAACCAGATTCATTAAAATAACAATAGGTTCAAAACAAACACAACGGTGTATCTGATATATGTGTATGAGTATGTTTATTACAACGTTACTTGTCCAAAACACCTGTAAACAGTTGACTGTACTTTTTGCAAATTACATATCATTTTACAGGAAATGTCAGTAAAACTACCAGGAAATCAGGAATCAGCAAATTAAAACACTTTTATAAATTGTAGAGTTCCGTACAGTGTAATTGTATTTCCACTCGCATCAGTGTCAATGTCCTGTTACTCTTTTCCTTATTAGTTTTTAAGGACAGTTCAGAAAGTGCTGAGAAAGTGAAGTAAATTTTGCTTCTGGTCAATAGAGATTCCGTGAGAACAGCCCAGCCTTAGTGGTCAGGCAGCAGGAGTCTGTAATTAACCAATGTCCGAGCAGGAAATTCATAATCATGCCTCAAGCTATTAAGTCAAGATGGAGTGATGACATTGTGTCAGCAGCAACAGCAGCAGTGACCTTCAAGTTGAAATTATAGTCTGGGATTTTGTGGTGAAAAATTATTCAGAAGGCTTACTTGTCTGCCATTGTTGTCATTAATTCCTTTCAATGTTACCACTGATACATGTACATCTTGAAGTTAAAGCTCTTGAAAGTGTGTTTGTTTTGAGAAGAAAAGGTAAGTTTCTTGACTTGTGGCAATATTGTTCAAAATAATTTTATCAACATTTTGATCTGCAAAGCAAATTCAACATGTATTGTTTGATAACAGATAGTAAGTGAAAATAATGGATATATACATGTATGCTGATGTATTTCAGTTTTTATACATAAAAAGTCAGAACAATAAAATTCTATTATGAATAATTAGTAAAAAATAGAGAAGAATGAATACTTTCTTTACATTATCTTACAGGTGCTTCTTAAAGAAGCTATATAATATAGCACCATACATACATGTTCTTGTCCTATATTTACATAATGTACATATCAATACCTGTGCTGTATCCAGTACCCGTCAATATATGTTCATAAAAGATTATACCGGTACCCTCACTTCAACCATGATAAGGGAGGGAAAATATTCTGTTTTTGGTCAAGTTAACAAGTTCAGTGCTTTTTAAAAATTACAATAGACTGTGTTAAGTGATATAAAAATGCTTCATTTTCTTACAGGTTGTTTCAAACAACAGAAACTGTGGAAAAATCATCACAATGTGTAGGACCTCAGCAGGTGCACGTAGTAATCACAAATTGCATAAACAAAGACAATGCCTACAACTGTTAATCGTTCTACCCATCCAAGACTTCTCATCAAAGCTGTCTGTTGGTTAAATTCTCCACATGTTGGATTATGTTGAATCTTAATATGGTATTCAGAATAAATAGCCAAGAAGTTAAAAGTACAGCAAATCCTGTCCCTAATAAGAATATGGGCAGTGTTCCAAGTTAGGCATTAACCATCCTGCAGATGGGTGGGGCTACTTAAATGTAGTTGGGGTCACTTGCAGGTGAAGGGTGTGGTCACAGGTGGGTGTGGTCATTAACAGGTGAGGGGTTTTGTCACTGTGCAGGCGATGGGTGGCGTCATTGACAGGTGCTTAATCTAAAGAAACACAGTGTTGTCTTATTTGCATCATTTGCATGTCTATCATAGGAAACAAACTTGTGAGAAGTTTTACATCAAGATAAGACCTCTAGACATTTCCATGTATTGCAAGGTTTTTCTTAAAGATAGTGCCCAAGCTATGATTTCATCCCTGCTAACTAACGTTAAGTTTTACATTTCCTCTTGATGAATGTGCAAACCTGTAAATCTGACTCATACGCTCCTCACTCCTCACTCAGGAAATAACCTTTATCAAAAAAATGTCTTGCTTTAGGGTGACAAGTCCATAACCAATAGAACATCACAGCAGTATATATGTCACATATATGTATATTACCTTCACGCCAGTAATAAGGAAAAAGAAATGTGGTCTTGTGTAATAATATCCCAGGTGATCAATTCCACTGTGCTAATAACAAAGTTAGACTTTCTTAAATCATTCATTTTCTTGAATTGACACAGACCCAGTTTTTGGATTTGAAAACATTCATTCCAGCAGTTATCAGGGCCAGTTTGGCCTTGGACTTGTCTTATTAGATCAGATGGAGCTACATGGTTCCCCTCCCTTGTATTTATGAACTTTTTAGACACCTGTTTGTAGGAATGATTTCAGGTATCGGCCATACAGCGAAACAGCAATCATCAGAACAGTATGATGCATATTGGATATAAGTTACAAATATAATAGTATGTCCACAAACATTTGTCAGCAATTTATACAAAGGGTGTATTTACAGAGCAATATATAACTTAGCATCCAATAATTTACAGGATTGATTTTCACAAAAGTGTCAAATAAACATTAAATAATCTTCTTTGTAAATGTTTAAATTTGGTCAAACATACAGGTTTTTTTTTTCTGTTGGAATCAAAACATTGAAGCCGAACAACAAAAATGGTCAATGAAAAATAGTTTTGCCTGATCCATTTTGTTCCTAAGCATTCTATTTACAGTTCAATAACAAGCATGTGTGATTTAATTTGAACATTTAGCAAATTTAATTTGAGCCATTTCTGTTCATTGTCAACATTCAGTTCGACCATTCATATCTGTCTTATCGAGACCTTTATTATGCACCTATCAATTGTATGACGCACCCATGACCCCTTGGAATGGTGTGTCATAGTCTAACATCCTTTTGTGGAATCTACACTTTGTCAGTGACACACCAATGCATACATTTGACGTTATTTGACCCACCTTTCACATATTGTGATGCATCTACTGAGGAACAATGACATACCCCACAAATTGACTCGACGCACCCCTATGTCACATCCATGAAGGACATGATGTACACTTACAAATGACAGGTGCATTTAATTATCACTGTTCTCACAGATAACTCAACAGGTTTGTCTCAAACAGAAATTTCACTCCGTTCTGCTCCCAAAAGGGTTGTCAAAAAATCCACATTTGCTAGGTCTCATGAGCAGGGTTATGATCTCAGACAATTACAGTACAAGTATTTAGAAGAACACTAGCAATGTGTGATTGTCACATACATACTGATTGGGTTTTTTTCTTCATAAATGTACATGTAGCTCATGAGACACTATGTCTCTTTGCATGTCTTCCCCCTGATCTCAATTTCATGCCACCCCCCTTCTGACATCTTTTCATTTTATTTGTAACTTGCCATTCACAAATACCACTTGGCCTGCGTACACAAGCAGAATACAAAGCAGCACAGTCATTCTCATGGAACAAGTAGGGATTGTAAGCGCAGACATCTTTTTCCTTGGCTTCCGGAGGCCAGTATATGACACCAGGCTTGATCTGAAATGAGAGGGAAAAGGATGTCTTAATCAATTCAAGATATGTCTGAACTATCGATGGTTTTGCTCCAGCTGGTTTTCATTACCCAATAGTAGCTGCATATAAATGTAAAACAGACTTGAAACATGACGCATAACTTTTTGATACCATATTTGACAGACTGAAAAAAAAATTGTAATTCTGTTCACTAGATGGGTGGATCCTCAGCCTTCTAAAGTGAGTATTTTGTTCAGAGACATCAACAAGATGTAGCTCCTTATTTTGTTTGTTATTGCAAACTGTTTGCGAGGCCAGTCAGTATTGATTATCCTGCAAACCCTTCACTCTGTTAGTAAACATCAGTTAATAGAGTTAGTGGTTTATTGATAAATCTATTACAAGAGCCTAGTAATTGATTGGCCTAGCAGGTGACAAACTATACTAGTCTAGCAGGTGTCTATACCAATGTTGTTGCAGCTATATTCATAAATTGTTTATGAGGTCATATCATGAAGGTACCTAATTATAAGATGTTGATGAGCTATTTGCTGTGAGTGACTGTTTATTTATCTGCCTACAGCCATTGTGTTTTGTTTCAATAAATGAGGTTGTAGCCTCCTCAATGGCATCAGTTTCTTCAAATCATTTTAGCCTTTGATCAAGCTTTGGCCTTCAACTATAAGCTAAAGCACAATACACAGTTAGGAATATTTTGTAAAGAAGTTGACTTACAATGCACTCATCGCAGTATTTCTTGTAGACATACTTGAGTCCTTGTCTCTGTGTTTTGGTCACAAGATGTGACTCAACCACCCAGTCACAGAGGTGAATTGTCGGCCCTTTCTCAGAGAAGCTTCCTGTAAAGAAGTCCAGAAAAAAAACTTGTCTGAATATAATTGCTGTGAGGACATTCATATTATCAGGGGAAGGAAATTTAGAATGCCCCTTGGAATGTCCTGCTAACTGTGCCAAAAATTGCACAATGCGTAACTTGCATATAGATGGTAAAAAAAAAAAAATCACATTTCAAGCATGATTGTCTGTGTTTTTATATCCTGCAAATAGTTCAAAGAAGTTTTAGATGTCAGCGTGCTTTGGTTATATCAGTTAGGAAAGATGGACATCATACAGTAGTTAAGTATGTTCCATCTTTGAGTACTTGTATCTCTCCAAAGATAACATTCTTTCACTTTTTACAGGACACTTTTAAGGCCTTAATTCAACCTATTTCACGGTTGACCTCTGACAGCAAAAAAAGTCTGCTATCATCCGCCCAATCACATATCCTGTTCTAAGTTTGAAGGGAAACAGGTCTTTTGGAAACCAGACACACTGTAACTGCATTCATTCCCATGGGATTCTGCACCATCAAACTTATATGGCGAGTTATGATGTGTGTGGAGGATGCCTTCTACATGAACACAACTTGAAAAGTCTCAACCTTTTGTGCCTCAACCCAGCCCCACACCTAAAATGAAGAATGCTTCCATTTGGAAACATCCATGTTTAAGTCTGTAGTAATTATTTAATACATAACCTGGGTTTGGACCATTATTCATAAAGATCCTTTGCTTTGCAGGCATCATTGATGAGGTACTTTATTTTGGAGCAGGCCTCTTGGGCATTCAAAGATGGCTGCTCAGTGCAAAAGGGCTATTGTAATGATTGTCCTCACCTGTCAGCAAGTATTTCTGTCCTTCCTCCAGCATCGTCACACCGCACATGCCACTATCTGCAGGACTAACAATCTCAATCTTGCTTCTTGCTAGTATCGTCTCCTCTCCTTTGTAGACCTTCTCCACCTGCACCATGTACCTCAGTCTCATTGCCCAGGTATTCCAAGATTCCATCTGTCCTTCAGACAAGGGCCGAAGTGTCTTGGGAGGTTTGGCCATCCTCAGTTTGCTGACTGCAGGGAATCTCCATGGGGGTTTGGTTGTAGGTTGAGGGGTAGTGGGTAGGGATTGAGATGGCATGATTGGCTCAAAGGTTTTACTCATGACCTTGGCACGAATAACTGTTTTGAAAAGAAGAAAATGGAATCAGTTATCAAATTATTTGAATGACTTGATAATCCTGAATAGTTGAATTGATGATTACCTTATCTTCTAACCTACTGAAGGATACTTGAAAGAACTGGGGGAGGGGGGGGGGAGAGGGGGGTATGCTCCCCCTTTTGTGGTTGTGTGCCCCCATGTATCAGCTACCCTGGATGTGTTCCTATGAGCTAATGAGGCCTCCTGGTTCCTGGTCGACTGGGGGATTATATCAGGAAGGATGGTTCCTTGAAGAAGACGGTGTGTCAGTTACAGTCACTCAAGCCTGATGAATGCTGGACTCAATGCCAGCTAAAGTTAACTCCTTAGGTTTCATGCAGGATCAGCCATACCATTGAACAAAGGAGAATGCTCTTTTTTGATTCCTATTCACAACCACTGTCAGAGCTGCAGTATAACAATGGAACTGAATTTGTCTGAAAAGCTGGCAGTAAATTGAGCTAATCTGTATTCCTGGTAATGAGACAATCACTGCCCTGTACCCTGCACAACAGATCTTGAAATTATACCTCTGCAAAGTTTGTTTAGTTTGTTGAACAGGATTTTGTTTGTATTTGTGGTAATATGTATGTCTAGTATTCAGTGTTGTAAGCTTAGGCCAAAAAAAATAAGTCTCCGGTTTCTGGTATGGAGCTTGCCCAAAAAGTGGTGCGGCGACGCTGCTTTTTTTTTTTTACCTGATTTTTTTGCCTCAAATGTCGGCTGATGACTGCAAATGGTGCCCGACTAGACTTAGTGCAAATACATGGGAGTCCAGAAAAGCCACATAACGCTTATTCTTGATCATAACCCCATCTAAAAACACGTTAAATTTGTGCAGCAGCAGGATTCCAGTCAAACCAGTGAATTTGGCGGTTTTGAGATATCATCTTTCATTAAAAAAAAACAAACTTTTTCATTTTGCTGACGCGCATGGCTACGGCGACGCGCGCGCATACCAGAAACCGGAGATTTTTTTTGTGGCCTTATCCATTGACAAACAGTAATAGCTATCAATGTTTTCTAGGAATGACATTTGACTGTAGATGATTGTGTCGTGTAGGGTATTCAGTTTCAAAAACATGCCATGGTACACAACAGAGTTGTATGTACATGTATATTGCCAAAAAATGTGCTAGTCTCACAAACTCATCAAATTATTATCATCAGGAGCCACTTAATTCGTCGGAGGAATATTGTTAACCCCCCAAAAAGGGGGGGGGGGGGTAACTTTCCAACTTTTTAAAAAGATTTTATCATTAAATATTTGTCTAAAAAACTTCTGGTTGTACTTCGCTGTCTTAAAGTGTTGAACAATTGCCAATAGAAACTGCATTGAGAAATCAATTGTTGAGGGAACAGTGACATGGGCCTAAGGTCTCCGTGTGCTTATTGTTGGGTGGAGACCTTGTTTAGTGTTTATCATCAGGCCTTGGATTCCAGCTGCATTGTTAGGTAAATCCAGTAATTATTTGTTGATTGTGACTGGTGAATGATTGTTGGCAATAATAAGAGTATTGCTTAGGGGATCAACACTTTGGTGTTTGTGACCTTTACTTGAAATGAAAGGCCATCCATGCTTGGAATGTTGGCTGTTTTATAAATCAAGGACAGTTTGAGCCATTTGAGGGATCACTGCGTGGTTGCTTGGTTGAGACACCACAGCCAAATCCTCCAGTCTGATTCTATTTCAGGAAGATTTCATACTGCTCTTGTGTGTGGAGTTTGCGGTTTGCGTTTCTTCACATCAACCCCTTCGTTATTTTCTAAGGCTTTGTACACAGTCAATCAAATGAATGTACACAGTACAGATTTTGAGGGACACATCCCAAAATAAACCCTCTACTACGAAATTATCCTTGCATTGCGGTTACATTGTGGTTGAATGGCATGTTGATTTTGTTAAAGTGTGTGGCCTGCCCCATTTTGTGTCTGGAAATAACAATGAACGTATTTTCTGCTGTACAGTGAATATTCCTTGGCTTCATGGCAGACTGTGTCTGAACATAGAGCTACAGCTATGGTTTGAAAAAAAGAACTGTCTATAAATAGGGGCAGCTTACAATTTTGAAGGAGAAAGAATTATGCCTCATTACGCTTGAAAAAAAAAGACATTGTTACATCTCAGTAGCTATTTATAGATCATCTTAAGCCAACAATAATCAGGCTGTTGTATGTGATAGCTTGTTAGTTAAATCAGAGAAACCAAAATAGATCTCTTGCCTAATGCCAGTAATGAGGCGATATTGAGAGTTACAACCTCAACAAATGTTTGATTTTTTTGTGGTGATTGTGAGCACAAAGTGAAAGTTGTCTGACCTTGGAAACACACTCTGGTCATATTGGGTCAGAAATTGTCAGCTTCTTGTACTTGGTTCAAGGAATTTAGTTATAAAATGTGACCAAAAAATCAATGAATGAGTTCTTTCCGTCTTTTTGCCAACATGCAAAAAAGTAAGAATTTCAACACTAAACTAGAAAAGTAACAACCTTATTGTCTTAGCAATAATTTTGATTTTGCAAATCATGTTTCTATATTTTTGGATCACATAATTTGAAGTTGACTTGACTTATAAGAAATTCATGGGGAGTAGAGTGTTTTTATAGCTGCTGTTTTCAACAACTGCCTTGGGAAGTTGTCAATTTCATAATCCAACTGGGGATTGACAATTTAAGCTGATTTTCCTTGGGTGTGCCGGGAGGGAGTACATTTCAGGGTGTCAGGTGAATTTGGAGGAACAAACAAAAACTTATACAACTTTCAAATGCTGCAAATATATGAAATCTATGATGGATTTACCAGACAAACATGCAAAAGTTTCTGTTGATCCCTAGGCAAGAGGAATTCCACTTCAGTTTCGTAGCTGTGCTTCAATACAATGCACTTTTCCCCTTTTGTGTTTACTTTTAAGTAGCTGGAGAGAGATGTGTGCCTTTTGTTTACTCAACTGCAGTAATATATTCTTTTCTCAACTAGTATCCATAGAGAGTCCGTTTGTTTTTGACCTGTGCCTAGGGACCGATCCTCTGAGGTCTCTTCCTCGGTGATTGTTGATTTATCCAGAAAGGTTTCTGGCTTTGCTCAAAACAAAGTGCTTCAATTTAGGATTATTCTGTTGTTTATTGCAATTTTAACTTATTTCATAAATTAAAATCTTAGAGTAGTTTCAATCTGTTCTTGTTTATAATACTGGCTGTGCAAGTGGCCAATGTATCGTGGTTTGCCTCTGAGTAGTTCTTACCATTAGGGAATTTAAAAACTTTGTTTTCAAGTTGTCCTGAAATACAAACTGATTACTGACACCAAGAAATACCTGTGTCTTTAAAAAAATATTTTAGTTGTACTGTCAGAATTGGAGTTTAAACTGACTCTGTTCAGTAACTCTCCTATTGTCTAACCTGACAATAAGTTGTTAATGTACTGTTCGGGTGTAACTCCAAGTGGTATGGGGTCACTAATTACAGGGACTCCTGCATCAAGGGTCCAAGCTCACGTACATGTAGGACTACTAGTTCGTGTACTTTGGTTTGGGGTTCCTTCCCATAAACCAGATACCCTTGCATGTCTGGACAACCATCAACCAATGGTCAACTAATCAACAAGTTGCCAGGAGGTTAACTGTCTTGCAAGTTGGAGGGATATAGCTGTAATACAAGTGGCAGTATTTTGTCAACACTCTTCATAATGGTCAGGTGTGAGAACTGATGATTGGGTGGATTGAGGGTTGGAATTTACCAAGCACTGCCCATTGCCTAAGGGAATGTGCAGTGTTATTGAGCTTCAGTACTTTGCACTTTTGTTGTTTGACTATAGAACTGCAGAGGTTTGTTTCATCAAGAGTATGAGCATGATCAAATGATAGCAAGGACTTTTGAGGGCGATTTGTTTCCTAGGCATGAAACAAACTTCGTACAAATTTTAAAAAAACTCTGTTGTGCACGATTTGCCAGGTGCAATCATGCAATTGAGCAAAATCAAATGCTGAATTGTTTTGCAAAAATATGGAGAAAAAACCCCGGGAGCTGATAGATCATGCAACCAACAGGCAAAACAAACACCTTAGCATCTATCTCATTTTCAGTCCACTCTTAAAGCATGAAAGTAGGAAATACCCATGTTTCTATTCCAGCCTTGGTCAAGGCATTTGATGATAGAAACTGATGATCAAAGGTTGGCCGAGAAAAAAAATGCACTCACACATACTTGCGTGAAGCGCAAACAGAAACCTCACGTGACTAGGATATGCAAATCAGGTGGGCTGAATGAACGCCTGGGAACATCCATTGGGTTTTACTGGATTCCAGCAATGACATCGTGTGCCAATGATTATGAGATTATTTTTCAGTACTTGGTCGTGGAGGCTCATATTTTACATGGACATAAGTGAGGAGTCTGCAAATATAACTCCATATAAATTCAGCAACAAAAAAACAAAAACTGTCTGCAAAATATTCAGCCTCACCTGATTTGCCTATTGCAGCCTAGCCGTTTGAGGTCGTAGTTTACGTACGTGTGAGTGCAAAGTGTGTGGCTGCTGTGTATGATCATCGGACACTACTGCCGAACGCCTTGACCAAGACTACCATATTTCAAAAGAGATACTTAAGTTTGCTGATAAAGTTGGTATCACAATATCCAGTATTGTAATCAGATGTGAAGTGTTATAGACATGCATTGTAGAAATAATTTCTAAAAACTTGACACATCATTTAGACTAATGACATACAATATTGTCCAGGAATAACTTACCAAATTCAGCCTGGCAGAAGTGTTGCTGTGGATGTCTGTGGGCACATTGACATCCTAAGACCATCTGGGTTGTCTCAAGATATGCCAGGAAGAGGAGGAAAATCAAACTTAATGATGAGAAATCCATCTTATGATAGAATCAAGAGACTTGTCTGGAAAATCAATTAGCTTGATTTATTCAAGTTGTCCAATGGCAAATTCACCAGCTTGCTCTGTGCTTTAATGAGACGTTTTCTCTGGAGCATCCATGTAAGTAACCATAGAACACTAAGATATCATGGAGTGTTTTCTCAAGTTTGTTGTGAACGTTGTGAACACGTGGAGCATTGGGTGACAAACTGAAAACTACCCTGCCATGCTGCCTGTATTTATCCTTACAGGAGTCACTGGCTATTCTATGTAGTATGCCTGCTCCCTCTGCATGAGTCACCCCTTTGGCCTGTGGTTACTGGAGCAATTGATCTGCCAATAACAGTGTGGTCGTGGCCTAATAGATCAAGGGACTGGCTATGGTAGGTGGGTGTACAAGTTATAGACCAATCAAATTCAGAGTGGGTATAGCTCTGACTTATTTGTGATAGTGATATGTTGTTTACTTAATGGTTGCTTGCTCCTTACCCTTGGTGAGGAAGAAGCCTAGATTACCCAATGCATTCAAGGACATTCACATTTACTCTACTTTGCCACTTTGCAAGGATTCTTGTTTGGTTGTCAAACATTTGTGTGGTGATTAATGCCTTTCATCAATATGAAAATGACTGAATAGGCTTTATTCAAATGGTAGTTTTCTGGCAGTCTACATAAGCTTGTTTTCAAAACGCAGTCTTTCAAGGCAGCTGTACTGAGGCACTGAAAATACTACTTTCACTAACATAGGCAAATAATTAGAACTTTTGAGAGAATTTTGGAAAAAGATTGCAGAGCCTAGAGTTAATTAAAGTTTGAAGTTTTGAAAATAATGACGACTGACTCCTTCCTTCATCATCCTTGAGCTCTTATTGAATGTTGGACTCATCTGAATATTTCAAGTAGTCTGTGTTCACAAACCTTAGGTCTGAATTACAACTTGACCTTTTACTAACTCTTGAGTTAAAAACTTGAAACTGATACCACTCTTGAAGTTTCAAGGATTTACTGTACTTGTAACTGTGTCCTTCAGCAGAGTAGAAACCTTCAGATGTTGTCTTCTTCAAAAGTCTGTCTATTAGTCATGACTCTAAATTTTCCCCATTATTAGCTAGTTGCCAACGCTTACATCAATATTACAATACTACTGACATTAGCCTCGATTTCTCAACCCATTGAAATGTATCGGGTGATAAACATCCCTAGAATTTAGAAAGCCCTGAATATTTTGGTGGTTGAATAATGTCTGAGGTATTTAATTCCACCACATATCTAAGTTGTAAGGAGGGATATAGTTCTGTAATTTCAGGAATGTTTGTTCTCAAGTCCCCAGATGATTTACATGCAACCTGTTGTATTGTGCATTTGCAGCCCACATTCCTGTCTTCTGTTTTGCCGCTGGCATACGCATACTGGTCATAACTCTCAAACACAATTTCTGACAATTTGGACAAATTGCTATCATCAGTCTATCCTGACTTTGACGTAGGTTGGATTATTGAAAGCAAAAAGGAACCCAGCTTTGATATTTTTCTGAGAAGGCTTTGCGAGATAAGAATCGTATTTTTCCCCACCCATAATTATGATCGACTTCCTACATGACTCACGAAACGTTTTCTTTCCAACTGTAAAATTCCAAGTTTCAGTTTCCTTGACATAAAGTCCTTGACACATCTATGAATGAACCCCTTCTGGCTAGTTTTAGGAAAAGAACTGTACCATGAGATAAATGGAAGAAATTGGAGATTTCCCTGGCATTTCATGCAATCCTGCCACCCCAGGATGTGGGTAACTTTTAGAGGCATAGCATCTTTCTGTATGAAAAGGAACTGTGTACACTGTACTGAATGAGGTGGGAGAGCAGGACTATTGCTATTAGGTCCCCTGCCCCCCACCCCCCCCCCCCCCCCACCCCACCCATAAAACCTTCAGAGATTCAGAGTAGCTGCTTTATTTTATAATCATACAATGTATAAAAAAAAATCACCTGATGCTTTCCTGTAGAACTCCTGGATTGGAATGCAAAATATGCCAAAAATGTTAAAACTTTGCCAAACAACAGTCTTTATTCTTGCAAAGCTGCAGGAAAGTAGCATACATCCTTCACATGAAGAATGGACTACCAGTGGCTATACCAGCTCAGTGAGTTAGGTGTATAGGGCAGATCAGTCAAAAGGGGTAGTGTATAGTCCTACTAACAATACTACAATGGAAAGCTTACAGGTACAAGCTTCCAAACAGTGGCTGTCCAGGTGAACAAGTATTAACAACCAAAGATACTTCCACAAAAGCAAGAATTCCAAGTATGTAGAAAATTCATCTGTTTCGTGGGACAAGGACGGGTTTTTATGCTGCAAGGTGAAATCATAGTGCAATGATGAAGTTATTCTGTGATTTCAACTTGTACTTATTTCTGCATGTATTTATCTGTGTAAAGCCACTGGATTTAGCATGTCAGGTGAATTTATTATCTTGACCTAACATTTTGTAATAGGTCCTCTCAAACACACCTCACTTGTCATAATCGGAACATTTGACTCAGTCACAGACAGATCTACTCAAGAAGTTCATAAATCAGCTTTTATGGATGAAAACTAAAACCAGCCTCTCTGTGTTGAGTTCAATTGGTTAAATAGCAAATATGTGCAAGAATTCAAGGCGCTGTGAATTCAGTAGTTTGGAAAGGTAGAGGTCTGAAACTTTAGCTTGATGTTTACTTGATATAATGATAGATATCATCAGATTATTGTATAGAAGTACAAAAATCAAGCAGGTTTATGAACAAGTCACATCTGTTCAGTATCATTCTCAAAATGTAAAAAAACAAAAATTAAAACCTTTGTGGTCTGTATAAATAACAAGCACTTAATGTGCAGGTTAATCTTTCCACATAAGAATGGCTTTGCAATTCAGTCCAAATGTCTTATTTCATTGAGAAAAAGAAAGTGTTAACATTATTCCATTGAATCAATTGAGGCACACTCATTGAACTTTTGGAATATCCAGTGAATTTTAAAATACATGTATTCAATATTCCGTCAAGCCTGGAGGAGCAATTTTGCTGCGTTGCCATTGCAAATCCTCCAACCTGTGATTTTTCATTGTGTTAAGATTCTCCTATTTTCAGGCTTTGTTTGTGTGCCAAATAAGCAGAAGAGTTGGTGACAACATCCTGTAAAAGATGACACCTCCCTAAAAGAGCCTCAGCCCCAGCTTACCTGAGATCAGACCAGGATTATCCAGTTGAAATATGCATGCAGTCAGGTCACTTAAAAAAGTGGGATTTAATTAAATCTGATTACAGAAATTAAATCCTTGTGGAATGTGTTTGGCACTACACACCCATCAGTGATTTCTGGGCACTTCACAGAACATGGAGGTAGGATGATCAGAACAACAACAGCATCAACAAGCGAAAACAGGTGAAGTATTCAGAGAGGGACTACAATGGCTGGCACCTTGATTGTACTAAGGGATATACTCTTGAGAGACTTAAAGAAAGCAAGGAATGCCTTCTACTTAGACAAGAGTCAGTCAGGAATGCAGAGGACACGCGATCTCTTTTGTCAGTGCCTTGAGGAGATCTAGGATGAATGAGATGCAAGGAGATTGACTATTATAGTTGGGGATAGCTTGCTGTCTTCATTGATTCTTAGAGTATGTCTTGTCTCTCAGATCATTGCTCTACTCTTCAGATCAAGACAATCTGGAGCTAGTTGAGGTGAGATGCAGACAGAGTGATGGATGAGATACTGGAGCCAGTCTGCAGAAACTTATTTTATTCCATCTAGCCGTCTGCAATCTTTTTTTCTTTTTTTCCTGAGTGTATTCAGGGTTATTTGTACTATATGCAGACCAGAGTTGTAACGAGTCACTGATTTTTGTGATTCAAGTCAAGTCGAGTCATTTTAAAGAAGTGACTCGAGTAGAGTTGAGTCATTAGGTCAAGAAGGTCGAGTCGAGTCGAGTCAAGTTGAGTCACAGTGTGTAGTCGAGTCGAGTCGAGTCAAGTATTTAGCTCGAGTCACAAATATTTGAACACTATACAGTAAATAAACACAAGAGAGAAAGTCATTTTTTGGCTTTTTAAATTTTACATTCGGGCTACTTTATGTGGTAACACCACATTTGACTCTTAATGAAAATAAAAAGGGGGTGCCAGCCGATCACCATTCAACTAATGGGGACAATGATCAAACCATGTATGTATACATTATTCCCGAACATTCTCAACAGTTCAACAAAGATTTCCAACAGTTATTTCCTTCTCCATTTTGTTTGCAATATTGTGTGCATTTGGAATTGAAAATGATTCAAGATAAATGATCACCTATTCTTCACAAGTTTTCTGTTCTTAAAAAGATGTTCTGCATATAGTGTTTTAGTATACTTCATAGAACAATATGTGTCCATCAAGTTGCTTTCCAGAAAACAATCACCATGGTTCAGATTTCCTTAAGTAACATGTCTTAGTTTAACACTATGTTATATCTCCTCCTGCTTGAGTGGATAATTAGCAGGTTGTACTTTCTGGATTCATAAGAGGCTGTACACAGTAGCAGTTTGGTTATTAGACAACTGTTTGCTAAGAAACTTCATGGATGACCCTCTGTGGCTGCAGTCTTTTTATGATGAAACGGTGAAGTTTGTTTTAAAGATCAAACTATATTTACCCAACACCATCCCTGAATGGGTTGGACAAGGGAAAGAAGCACTCCATATTACCCCAACCTGTGACTATTCATTCCATGCTCAGCGTTATTTGCACGTACCTGGTAAAAGTGACAGTGAGGTGTGAAAAAGTATGTGGAAATAATAACGTTGGTAGGATTTGATGGAGATGCCTGTAGGGTTAGGATTTGAGTGACTAGGTTGATTGGCATTATGATGAGATGAAGGTGATGGTATGGGCGGAGTTGTAACTGTTTGCTGTCACACCATGAGGACAATCACGCAATGTGTGGCAAAACTGGAGGCATGCATGGTTCTGCCAGTATGTTGGGGGGGGGTGCATGTAATGAAGTAGTACAAGAATAAATGTAGCCTGCAAACCAAGTTTTATTGTATTTTATTTATTTATTTGCATTTTCTCAAAAAGGAAAAATTTTCCAAGAATATTTTTATTGCAAAAGATTTTTCATAATTTCCCCAAAGGCATATTACCTGAAAAAAGGAGGCACAGAAAATCTGATAACTTTCCCAGAATGTGTTTAGCCCCTTTCTGTTTCTTCCTT